GGTGTCAACCCACTGATCCTGGATGACAGCGTTGCTCACCAGGTTCGTCGAGAACGAGGGGAGGTGGAAACCCGACAACGAGCCAGACGGAACCGCCGGACAAGGGAGCACAGTGGTGGACTGGGCAAGGACTGGGCCCCCAGAGGGGTCAGCCAAGGAGACTGGGACCGGTGCAGGAAGCGGTGTGAGCTCAGTACTGTCACGAAAGAAACAGCGGGAAGCACCTGAGTCAAGGGTGAAGGTGTGACAGGCCTCAGCCGGTGCAGTACCTGAGAGAGCAGTCTCTGTGGGTGCTGTACCTGAGAGAGCAGACTCGCAAACAGCCGGGACAGCACTGGAGGGAGCAAGTACAGGGGGCACCATACCAGAGAGAGCAGACTCACTAGTACCCAGGGCAGCGGGCTCTATACCTGGGTCAGGCGGCACACACAAGTAACAGTCTCCCTCGGCACTAACAGTCAATGCATACATGGCAGCAATAATAGCATCATAGTCAAGAGCAAAGATATCAACACCAGCCCTCATGAGTTCAGCCCAGCGGGGGCGCTCAACATCCTCGCCCATCTCCTCACGCCAAGCGTCGTCAAGGCGGGAGAAGCAGCGGTACGGGGTGTGGAACCTCCCACACGTCTGTCCCTTGCGGTCACCTGTGCGAATGACATAGGAACAGCGGCCACTGCCCCCCGACGTCCCACGCTGAGCAAGCCACTCACGAAGTTGCTGGGTCGTCTGGGGACGCTGCTGCTGCTGGGAGCTCTGGCCCGAGCCAGTGCCTCCACTCCGACCTCCACCGCCACCACTACCACCGCTCCGACCGCCACCGCCGCCACCGCCACCGCCGCCGCCGCCGCCACCGCCGCCGCCGCCGCCACCGCCACCGCTCCCTCCGCCGCCCCCGCCTCCGCTGCCGACCCCACTCCCACCAGCACTCCCGCCACCGCTCCCTCCAGCACCGCCTCCCCCCCCACCTCCCCCACCTCCTCCCCCCCCAGCGCCACCCCCGCCACCCTTGCCCCCCTTGCCCTTGCCGGTGCGGCGCCTCCCACCAGGAGCAGAAGCAGCGCCAGCAGACTCAGCACCAAGGAAGTCAACAGCAGCAGCAGTAGCGTAGGAGGGAGCGAGGGGAGAGGGAGAACACCCCTCAAAGATGGGGGTGCGAGGAGCGCCACGAGCAGCACCGACAGCTACAATGCTCTTTTCGGCCGCTAGCAGCTGCTCCTCTAGGAGGGCGACTGTGAGCTCAGTGGGACAGCGAGCAAGGAAGTGGTCTCGAACTGAGCTGAGGGTGTCAGGGAGACGGGTGACTATGAAGTGGAGTGTCCAGTACAGTGGAGGGGGGTTCTTAGCGCAGAACTCGGTGGGAAGGGCGGCACGCAGGCGAGCATCACTAGTGCGAAGGTGGGTGATAAGATCGGCGACTGTAGTAAAGGTGGACAGCTCAGGGAACAGGTACGGCAGCATGAGGCGGCTAAGCTCGGCTGTGGCAGGCGAAGAGTAGCGAGCAACGACAGCATCGTACAGGGCCTTAGCGGATTTGCAGTCGCCAAAATGCTCGAGCTCAGCTAGCGGCAGGTGACTGCGAATGGCTAGGCGAGCAGCTGCGTCACGAGTCTGCCAGTGGGAACGAACACTAAGCTCAGCTGTGGCAGGAGGGGCAGGTGCAGCACCAGACGCGTAATCATAGAGCGACACATGCTCCTTGCTATCGCTCAGAAGGAACAGCTGCAGGTCATCCAGCCAGGTGGCGAACTTCACAGGGCGGCCCTCAGCATCGAACGACAGCACGCGGATGGAAGCCATAGCGACAGTGCGACTGAGCAAAGGAAGCTGCCGCAGCGCTGCAGGTAGGTAGCTCGGCGGGAAGCGCGGCGGGCGGGCGACGCGGCGAGCGGGCAGTGCGGGGGGCGGGCTACGAAGCGGGCAGCGCGGTGGGCAGGCGGCGCTGCAGGCGGGAAGTGCGGCGGGCGGGCTGCGAAGCGGGCAGCGGGGCGGGCGGGCGACGCGGCGAGCGGGCAGCGCGGCGGGCGGGCTGCGAAGCGGGCAGCGGGCGGGCGGGCGACGCTGCAAGCGGGCAGCGGGCGGGCGGGCGACGCTGCGAGCGGGCAGCGCGGCGGGCGGGCGACGCTGCGAGGGCAGCGGGCGGGCGGGCGACGCTGCAAGCGGGCAGCGGGCGGGCGGGCGACGCTGCGAGCGGGCAGCGCGGCGGGCGGGCTGCGAAGCGGGCAGCGGGCGGGCGGGCGACGCTGCAAGCGGGCAGCGAGGCGGGCGGGCGACGCTGCGAGCGGGCAGCGCGGCGGGCGGGCGACGCTGCGAAGCGGGCAGCGGGCGGGCGGGCGACGCTGCAAGCGGGCGGCTCGGCGGGCGGGCGACGCTGCGAGGGGCGCGCGAGGGCGCTAACAAGGGCGCGCGAGGGCGCTAGCGAGGGCGCGCGAGGGCGCTAACGAGAGGCGCACGAGGGCGCTAACGAGGGCGCGCGAGGGCGCTAACGAGGGCGCACGAGGGCGCTAACGAGGGCGCACGAGGGCGCTACGAGGCTAGGGCACGGGGTAGCGTGGTAACCGCATGCGAGCGGTGGTGGGCCCTTAAAAAAAAACGGTCGGTAGGTCCTAGGGACCTCCTGCTCTGATACCATGTCAGAAGAACTAGGCAAGAATGAGTGCATTGAATGAAACAGTTGGGTACAAGTAGCAAACCCTAGTTGGGGTTGTACCCCATATTGGCTACCCCACTACAGCCTACCAACATATAACACATTACAATTTAACAGGACGCTGGTGCTGGCTGGTCACCCCTGCCACCCCCACATCTCCCCCCCCACACGGCAGAAGCCGCGGAAGGAAGGGGGGGCAGCGCGCTGCTGCTTCCGGTAGTGCGCGGCCGTGGGGCGCGAGCTGTTGCGCCTGGTTGCGCGCACGGGCATGGGGTGGCGTGCTGCTGCGGAACGGGCTGCGCGCAGGTGGAACGGGCTGCGCGCGGGGCGGCTCGGGCTGCGCGCGCCTGGACGGGTTGCGCGCGGGCAAGATCAGGCTGCGCGTGGCCTGGACGGGCTGCGCGCGGGCGGAACGGGCTGCGCGCGGGGCGGCTCGGGCTGGGCGCGCCTGGACGGGCTGCACGCGGGTGGAACGGGCTGCGCGCTGGGCGGCTCGGGCTACGCGCGATCTGGACGGACTGCGCGCGGGCGGAACGGGCAGCGCGCGTGACAGGTGAGAGTACAACGGGCGCCATGGCTAGTGTCACATTTGCATGAATGTGAGGGGTAAGGTGGTGCGTAATGGGGCTGTATATACTGTAGATATTGTACATAGCAAGTCGGCCTGCAGTGAAGTCGGGAGCCGAAGAGACATTCGACCTTTCGGAGACAGAGAAGGGAGGTGGGGAGCTGACGGTTGCCGAGCCTGCGGGTCGGAAGTCTGCATGGGCAAGCGGGAGCTGGAACTTACGTAAGCAAGGAGGGGCGGGCTGTAGAGGCAGAGGCAGACAAGGCAGCGGCAGCAGAAAGCCATAACACAGGATGTGATGGATGGGTGAATGCGTGCATGCGTGTTTGTTTTCCCATGTGTGCAGGATAGGTTCGGGGAGCCAGCTGAATCTGGCAGTAACAGCTGGAGGCTAAGGAGGCAGGGCGGGGAAGTGTGGCAAGAGGCAGCACGGCTGTGAGCCTGTGTGACGCAGCTCTTCGCTGCTAGCGTAGGCGGGGTGATAGGACAGACGCAAGGAGGTGGTAGTGCTGGTAGAATAGGGGGATTCCTGAACGATCTATCCGTTGCTTGTATGTTTCCTTTTTACACGAGTGCTTTGCTGTAATCTGAGCAAGCAGTGACGATAGGGAGATATGACGAGCAATGGGTAGTGAGTAGTGGTAGAAGGATCTAGTGTGTGTGACGAAGCAGATAGCTCATCAAAGAGAGGTAGACACGAGTCAAGCAACAAGGGAAACTGGAAGGAGGATAGCAGCAAGGACGAGGTCAGTGAGTACAGAGAAGAGCAGCAAGGGAGGGGGAGGCTGCCTGGGAGAAGGAAGGGGAGGGAGGAATGTATGGCACAGGGACAGGAAGCAGGAAGGGGAATGGAGTCATGAGAGGCCAGGAGGGAGGTATCCGACACTAGCATGACTGGTGGGCCCATAACAATTTCTGTCCGTAGGATCAATGGCTCTGATTCCATGTTAAGATAAAGAGCTTCCTAGGCTAGGAGAAACCCTAGCCTAGGAGCATAGACTTAGGTACGAGAGGAAAACGGGATGGCCGAAAGAGGGGTTTCACTATTGAGTCAATGGTACAAATAGAGAACCATGCAAGAACAAATGGTGCACCACCAACAGCTTATGACAATAACTACAGAAACTACAGCAAGCAGGATATAACAACTTTGACACCAAGCTAGAAAAGAAAAGAAAAGAAAAGAAAAGAAAATCCAGCTGTGAATTTTCTACGGTGGGGGTAATCTAAGTAATTACCTAGGCAGTTTTTGGTATTTCGGGGTGCGCGCCCAAGAAGGGAATGGTGATTTGCCCAGCGCACCATCCATCACCTGCGTCAGCAGTACAACCGATCCACCATAACTATTCTTTCACGAAACTCCTGATACAAAGCAGTTCTTATCGTCGAAATTGGGCAAATATGAGGGGACACTTGGATTTTTGCTTGGAGTGATCCGAAATCGCGTTTGATTGTGACTGTTTGTGTTATTTCGAATCGGATATCGGATGGAAAAGGTCTTATCGAAAGCAAGACCTAAAACTGAATTTGGTGTTCGTACCTGCATAGTAACATGGATTATACATGAGTAGATTTTGACGCAAATGTAGATTGCACCTGAAAATGGCCCCACAAACATCACGAGAGGTCCCTTTGCCGAAGCTGAGTCACCAAGGCATCGAATCAGCAGCTTCGACGCCACGCTAGCAGTTGCATTGCTGTGCGCTAGTGGCGGGTTCTGTCATCAGGCTGTGGGTGAGGTGTACCTGCTTGTTCGTCATCTCGTTTCTTTTTACGAGCACAATGCTTCGAGCTCTTGTTTTATCTGATCGACAAGCTATTTCTAGGCATGTCAGCTCTCTTTTTTGTTTGGCATCAACTCTGTCAGCCGGTAAGTCCAACTTTCTTCAGTCGCCCGGTCGAAGTGCTTTAGTAGGATTCATAACTCCGCCTTTCAGATCGTTTGGCGTGTCCCGTGCCTTCTGTAAAGCTCACTAGTATCTGCGCTAGTCTCTCACCACGACGTTTCAGTGTGAGAAACACTTGGAACAGGTAAGGCAAGCTCTTTCATAGCATTCATTTCGACCTTGTTTGCCTCGTTACTGTTTGCCTTGTTAGACTAAAGCAAGCATGATCGCGTTGAGTACTTGCCCAGTCCCGCTCGTCCCTCTGCCTCGTTCCTCGCACCCCATTTCAGAATCGCCGAGCATCGCCATCAGGATCACGCACTGCAGATCGTCTCACCCTCTGCGCCGCAGCTGCTGATCATGTACGTAAGATAGATGGGAACCTCCCTATTGTGTCCAAACATACGAGCCATGGTGCTCGATGCAACTTTAATATATTGTTGGCATGGATCCTTACTGCTGCCAGCCCCCCCTCCCTATCGGCTCATCCTGTTTGTTTGTTTTTCATATTATATCAGCCCCTTGGCGCCTGACGCGAAGCATCAGCAAGTGTGGTCGTTGCATGCTGTGGTAGCTGGTTCATTTAGTTTCTGCTTGTGTTTCTTGTTTTCTTATTGCACCTCGCCTGTTTCTTCTTTCAGGTCGCCCGCTTTTCCTTGCAGGTCGCCTGGCTTTTGTTGCAAGTAGCCTGCTTTTATGTGCATGTCTCCTTTTGAGAACTTACGATGATAGTTGCCGCTGGTTCAGTTTCATTGTGCAGGCCCCGCAATTGAATAATTTGAGCAGCGGCGCATGTTATTTCTTGCCAATCCCTAATAATTAATATCTTCAGTATATGATATTATTCTTAATTGGATAATGAAACTGCTTGTAATTGTATCGTCATTACAGTTCAAACCACTATTGCTGAGTCATAAGCAGTTAATGTTACGAAAATGCAGCAATGCAACTAAATGTAAAGCTTTAGCATAACGAATCATACAGAATATAGAATTGTCATAATACAGAAAGTATTTTTGTACACCGAGCAGTCCCCACACGCAGGATTTCGCCACCACCAGGCAGCGCGATCTCGCCTCAGCAGCGCCAGACGCCTTAGGCAGCGCGAAATCGCCCCTTAGCAGCGCCAGACGCCACCAGGCAGCGCGATCTCGCCTCAGCAGCGCCAGACGCCTTAGGCCGCGCGAAATCGCTACTTAGCAGCGCCTCGACGCCACCAGGCAGCGCGATCTCGCCTCAGCAGCGCCAGACGCCTTAGGCAGCGCGAAATCGCCCCTTAGCAGCGCCTCGACGCCACCAGGCAGCGCGATCTCGCCTCAGCAGCGCCAGACGCATTAGGCAGCGCGAAATCGCCCCCTAGCAGCGCCAGACGCCACCAGGCAGCGCGATCTCGCCTCAGCAGCGCCAGACGCCTTAGGCAGCGCGAAATCGCCCCCTAGCAGCGCCAGACGCCACCAGGCAGCGCGATCTCGCCTCAGCAGCGCCAGACGCCTTAGGCAGCGCGAAATCGCCCCTTAGCAGCGCCTCGACGCCACCAGGCAGCGCGATCTCGCCTCAGCAGCGCCAGACGCCTTAGGCATCGCAAAATCGCCCCTTAGCAGCGCCTCGACGCCACCAGGCAGCGCGATCTCGCCTCAGCAGGGCGGAATCGCCGCAGAAACCACCAGGTACCACCTGAAACGCTATCATGGAAGACGACCCAGGCCCCGGGGACCCCGGGGTCTGGGCGGGAGACGGCGCAAACAACGGCACGACGGAGGCCATCGGGGGCAAAGGGGGGACAAGCACGGCGGCAGTCACGGGGTCGCTCTGCCTAGGGGCTGGCCACAAAAGACGGGGGGGGCCTGAGGGTGCGCTCCAGAGCCCACGCATCTGTCGCCTCCGCCACGAAGACATTCTGTGCCTCTTCGGCAAACCACCCAAGAGGCGGTGTTTTGAAGCGAACCGCCCGATTTCAGCAATTACAGGTGGACAATCCCCCAAGAACCCCCCCAGCAACCGGGCTGGCCAGAGCGGCGTCTCAGAGCCTTCGGCCGTCAACGAAGAGGGGGGAGAAGCAATGGGCGACAAGAGTCTGGCCGCCGATGTGGCATTGGAGGCTGCGAGGGCAGCTTGGGAAGAGCATCGTAGGCGCTTGCAACAACAGCACAACACTCGCAGGAGTGGCCTACCTGAGAGCGTAACGCGGCACAGTGCCTGCTCGACCGACGTCGACTCTCCCCTAGTCGTGCCACGTCTCGCACGGCGGCAGGAATGGCGGCGTCGGAGGGCGGCAGGAAGAGACAGGCAACGGGAGCCGCCGGTGGGGGGCCGGTGGGACCTGCAGGCGGGCGGACAGCAGGGGAGCCGGGAAAGAGGCCGACAGCCGCCGGAGGGGACGAGGCAGCAGCGGCTGCAGAGCGGAGGGCAGCATGAGCTGCAGGGCGGAGGGCAGCAGCAGCTGCAGAGCGGAGGGCAGCAGCAGCTGCAGAGTGGGGGGCAGCAGCAACTGCAGAGCGGAGGGCAGCAGCAGCTGCAGAGTGGGGGGCAGCAGCAGCTGCAGAGCGGAGGGCAGCAGCAACTGCTGCAGAGCGGAGGGCAGCATGAGCTGCAGGGCGGAGGGCAGCAGCAGCTGCAGAGCGGAGGGCAGCAGCAACTGCAGAGCGGAGGGCAGCAGCAGCTGCAGAGCGGAGGGCAGCAGCAGCTGCAGAGCGGAGGGCAGCAGCAGCTGCAGAGTGGGGGGCAGCAGCAACTGCTGCAGAGCGGAGGGCAGCATGAGCTGCAGGGCGGAGGGCAGCAGCAGCTGCAGAGCGGAGGGCAGCAGGAGCTGCAGAGTGGAGGGCAGCGGCAGCTGCAGAGCGGAGGGCAGCAGCAACTGCTGCAGAGCGGAGGGCAGCATGAGCTGCAGGGCGGAGGGCAGCAGCAGCTGCAGTGCGGAGGGCAGCAGCAGCTGCAGAGCGGAGGGCAGCAGCAGCTGCAGAGCGGAGGGCAGCAGCAACTGCTGCAGAGCGGAGGGCAGCATGAGCTGCAGGGCGGAGGGCAGCAGCAGCTGCAGAGCAGAGGGCAGCAGCAGCTGCAGAGCGGAGGGCAGCAGCAGCTGCAGGGCGGAGGGCAGCAGCAGCTGCGGAGTGGAGGGCAGCGTCAGCTGCAAAGCAGAGCACAGCAGGAGCTGCAGAGGGGAGGGCAGCATGAGCTGCGGAGTGGAGAGCAGCAGGAGCTGCAGAGTGGAGAGCAGCAGGAGCTGCAGAGTGGAGAGCAGCAGGAGCTGCAGAGTGGAGAGCAGCAGGAGCTGCAGAGTGGAGGGCATCAGGAGGAGCAGAGTGGGGGGCAGCAAGAGACATTGTGGGTGAGCGATGTGGAGATGGTGGACGAGGCAGGCACCGACGAGCTGGAATCAAGCCCCATGGAGGGGGAGAATGCCAACCCCGACTCCTCGGACCAAGCGGAAAGGCCCCGAGTGCGGGGGCGGGTCCGGAGGCGACGGGCAACCAAACTGCTACAGCTGCAGAGGGGAGGGCAGCAGCAGCTGCAGAGCGGAGGGCAGCAGCAACTGCTGCAGAGGGGAGGGCAGCAGCAGCTGCAGAGCGGAAGGCAGCAGGAGCTGCAGAGCGGAGGGCAGCGGCAGCTGCAAAGAGGAGATCAGCAGCTGCTGCAGAGTGGAGGGCAGCAGGAGCTGCAGAGCCGAGAGCAGCAAGAGCTGCGGAGTGGAGAGCAGCAGCAGCTGCAGAGTGGAGGGCAGCAGGAGCTGCAGAGTGGAGGGCAGGAGGAGCTGCAGAGCGGAGGGCAGCAAGACCCACTGGGGGAGTTGGATGTGGAGATAGAGGCCGAGGCATACACCGACGAGCTGGAATCAAGCCCCATGGAGGGTGAGAATGCCAACCCCGACTCCTCGGACCAAGCGGAAAGGCCCCGAGTGCGGGGGCGGGGCCGGAGGCGACGGGCAACCAAACTACTACAGCTGCAGAGGGGAGGGCAGCAGCAGCTGCAGAGCGGAGGGCAGCAGGAGCTGCAGGGCGGAGGGCAGCAGCCCAATCAGAGCGGAGGGCAGCAGCAGCTGCAGTGCGGAGGGCAGCAGGAGCTGCAGGGCGGAGGGCAGCAGCCCAATCAGAGCGGAGGGCAGCAGCAACTGCAGAGCGGAGGGCAGCAGCAACTGCAGAGCGGAGGGCAGCAGCAGCTGCAGAGCGGATGGCAGCAGCAGCTGCAGAGCGGATGGCAGCAGCAGCTGCAGAGCGGAGGGCAGCAGCCCAATCAGAGCGGAGGGCAGCAGCAACTGCAGAGCGGATGGCAGCGGCAGCTGCAGAGCGGAGGGCAGCATGAGCTGCAGGGCGGAGGGCAGCAGCCCAATCAGAGCGGAGGGCAGCAGCAGCTGCAGGGCGGAGGGCAGCAGCAGCTGCAGAGTGGAGGGCAGCAGCCCAATCAGAGTGGTGGGCAGCAGCAGCTGGAGGGAGCAGCAATCAGAGCGGAGGGCAGCAGCAGCTGCAGAGCGGAGGGCAGCAGCAGCTGCAGAGCGGAGGGCAGCAGCAGCTGCAGAGCAGAGGGCAGCAGCCCAATCAGAGCGGAGGGCAGCAGCAGCTGCAGAGCGGAGGGCAGCAGCCCAATCAGAGCGGAGGGCAGCAGCAGCTGCAGAGCGGAGGGCAGCAGGAGCTGCAGAGCGGAGGGCAGCAGCAGCTGCAGGGCGGAGGGCAGCAGCAGCTGCAGAGTGGGGGGCAGCAGCAACTGCTGCAGAGCGGAGGGCAGCAGCAGCTGCAGGGCGGAGGGCAGCAGCAGCTGCAGAGCGGAGGGCAGCAGGAGCTGCAGAGCGGAGGGCAGCAGCAGCTGCAGAGCGGAGGGCAGCAGCAACTGCTGCAGAGCGGAGGGCAGCATGAGCTGCAGAGCGGAGGGCAGCATGAGCTGCAGGGCGGAGGGCAGCAGCAGCTGCAGAGCGGAGGGCAGCAGCAACTGCAGAGCGGAGGGCAGCAGCAGCTGCAGAGCGGAGGGCAGCAGCAGCTGCAGAGGGGAGGGCAGCAGCAGCTGCAGAGCGGAGGGCAGCAGGAGCTGCAGAGCGGAGGGCAGCAGCAGCTGCAGAGCGGAGGGCAGCAGCCCAATCAGAGCGGAGGGCAGCAGCAGCTGCAGAGCGGAGGGCAGCAGCCCAATCAGAGCGGAGGGCAGCAGCAACTGCAGAGCGGAGGGCAGCAGCAGCTGCAGAGCGGAGGGCAGCATGAGCTGCAGGGCGGAGGGCAGCAGCCCAATCAGAGCGGAGGGCAGCAGCAGCTGCAGAGCGGAGGGCAGCAGCAGCTGCAGAGTGGAGGGCAGCAGCCCAATCAGAGCGGAGGGCAGCAGCAGCTGCAGAGCGGAGGGCAGCAGCAGCTGCAGAGCGGAGGGCAGCAGCAGCTGCAGAGTGGAGGGCAGCAGCCCAATCAGAGCGGAGGGCAGCAGCAGCTGCAGAGCGGAGGGCAGCAGCGGCTGCAGAGTGGGGGGCAGCTGCAGCTGCAGTGCGGAGGGCAGCAGCAGCTGCAGAGCGGAGGGCAGCAACAGCTGCAGAGCGGAGGGCAGCAGCAGCTGCAGAGCGGAGGGCAGCAACAGCTGCAGAGCGGAGGGCAGCAGGAGCTGCCCGATGGGGTGCAGCTTGCGAGGCTGCCAGAGGGGGAGATGGAGATGGAGTCGAGCAGACAGGTCTTGCCGGCGTGTTCGAGTGGAGAGGAGCACCCAGACCCTATGCTGACACCCCCGCCCCGCATCCCGTGCGAAACCTGTTATCGCACTTTCACGGAGAGAGGAAAGGCCACGCGTCATATGTCGGCCTGCAGGGCAGCGGACGCCAAGCGCCGTGCACAGGCGCTTGGGTTGACCCGCGACGTCACAGACGACTCGGACAGCGAACCTCCGCCACCACGGGATATCAGTGAAGAGGTGTGGGCCGCAGTTCCCACATGGGACTGGGAGTCGTTTTTCGGGATCGAATTGGTGCCAGGGAGAATCATGCGTCGCATCCCACAGCGCGCAAGACTGGGGGTGCTTGATGCACTAGCTTGTATCCTGAAGCGGCTCAAGTCAAAGGCAGCAGACGAGGCGGCATCCTTGGTGTTTTTGGCCTTCCCTCGTCTTTTCTTGGGGATTCCAACCGGGCAAGGCCAGGGCAGAGGGCGGCAATTAGGGAGCGGTTGGAGAAGTTTTGGGCTGGGGAGTGGCAGCAGCTGTTTGAGTTGGCGGTGGCGGCGATGCAACCTGCGGCTCGCCCCTTGTCCTTCACCCCACCCGAGCATGATCCTGATGCCGTGCGCCTATCCCGCTGCCGTACAAGGTGCAAAGTGGGAGAATGGAGTCGGGGTTTGGCGTGCCTTACGGCTGGTAGCATCGCTCAGCCCTCTCAGCACATGGTGGACGCGCTACGAGCGAAACACCCATCGTGCGAGTCCGCCATTCCTGGGTGGGTGCAGGAGGAGACAGTCGAGCCTTCCCTTATCCCACAGCTCTCAGTGGAGGTACTCGGCCAGGCGATCCACTCAGCGGCTAGGGCGTCCGCACCAGGACCGTCGGGGTGGGTGACGGAGCACCTGCGCGACACTTTTCTCTCTGAGCCCGCGTATCTGTCCCACCTGCTAGAGGTCTTCACCCAGTGGACCAAGGGAGAGGTAGCGGAGCGCGTGCGACCCTGGCTCACTGCGTCCAACTTGGTGGGCCTGTCGAAGCCGAATGGTGACGTTCGCCCGGTGGCTATAGGCGAGGTGCTCCCCCGCATACTATCTCGGGCCATATGCATCGTGCTTCGCCCGAAGATGATGTCGCACTTTGCTCCGTGTAACCAGTTTGGAGTCGGGTCCAGGTCGGGAGTGGAAGTCCTCGCACATGCCTTTCGCTCCGCCATCTCTACTCACCCGTCGTGGTGTGCGCTGCAAATTGACGTGGCGAACGCTTTCAACTCCTTCCATCGGCGGGAAATGTTTGAGGGTCTTCGACAGTCGCCTTTCAAGGGATTGATTCCATTTCTGCGTGTCTTCTACGGCACTCCTAGCGACCTCTATCTCCGAGCGGGCCCTTTTGTCGAAGCTTTGGCTTCCGAGCGGGGCTCGAGGCAAGGGGATCCATTGGGTCCGTTTCTGTTCGCGTTCACACAGCAGCTGGTTATGGAACCAACCAAAATGGAGTACGCCGACTTACTCTTCCTCAGCTATGCTGACGATACGTATATCCTGGGGCCTAGGGAACGGGTTCTAGCAGCCTATGAGGCCTTGCGGGAACGACTGGACGGGCTGGGTTTGGAGGTGCAGCCGCATAAGTGTAAGCTATGGGAGCGAGGGAGGGACCAGGATGGGGAGGAGAGAAATGAGACTGTCCCGCCCGGCATGCAGCAGACATGGACGGGGCTCACTGTGGTAGGGGTGCCCATTGGGGAGGAGGACTGGGAGGTGGCTAGCCTGCGTCGCCGGCTGACGGAGCTGCATGCACCTGTCCCCTGGCTTCCTCTGCTTGACCACCCACAGATTGCGTCCCATTTGTTGGCGATCGCAGTGTCGGCGCGCCCGATCTACCTCACACGGACGATGCCTCCACGACCTGAGGTTGTGGAGGCTTTTCGGGACTGGGACACGAAGCTGGAAGATTGTTTCGAGGAGCTGTTTCCAGATAGTACCTGGGATCACGATTCGGGGAAGTCCCAGATGGCTCGTTTACAGCTGCACCTTCCTGCCAGACTCGGGGGGTTCGGCATTCGATCTGCGGCTGACCTTAGTCCTCTGTCGTATGCATGTGGCTGGTGCCAAGCAGTGAGCGATGTGGCTCGGTTGGGGGTGGCAGGTGAGGAGCGGATGTTTGAGGAGTTTTTCCGCACGCCCGAGGCTACGACCTTGTTGGACCCCTGGTTTGCGAGAGCAGTGGATCTGCTTCCACAGTCGGTTCGGCAGGAGATGCCACCCCTTGCCTTGTGCACCGCTGATCCGCCTATGCTGCTCTTCCCCACACAACACCGTCGCCTGGCGGTTGAGAGCCTCCAATCTCTTCGAGGCATGGCCCACAACGATGCCACCCTGGCCCGTTTGACATCCCTTCAGGGCCCGGGGGCTGGGGCGTGGGTTTCTGCCGTTCCTTCGCACGAGGAGGCTACCTTCACCGCAGCCGAGTGGAGCATCTGCGCGTCCATGCGCCTAGGCCTCCCTATTCAGCAGCTGATAGTGGCCGGCAAGTGCGCGTGTGGGTTTGAGTTTGCTGATCCCTCTGACCCGCATCATGCCCTTCGCTGCAAGTATCAGTATGCACCTTCTCGGGTTCACGATGCGGTTAAATTTGTGGTGGCGAAGATAGCTAAGGGTGCGGGTGGGATTGTGACCATGGAAGACGACACGTTGCTCCCAGGGAAGAGGGTTGATGTGGCGGTTCGGAAACTGAGGGAGGGGGAGGAGCACGCGCTGGAGGTTAGTGTGGTAGATCCTATCTCGCTATCCGCGCAGCACCATGGACAGATTGGTCGCAAGGTGGGTTTTGCCGCGAGAGAGAGAGAAAAGCGGAAGACGGCGGACTACAAATCGCTTCTACAGCGGCATGGGGGAGTGCAGTTCACACCACTCATTGCTGAGACATGGGGATGCTTGGGGGGGAGTTTTGGACGGTGGCTTAAGAAGCAGGGTGACGCGCAGATCGAGATAGCAAAGACGAAAGGGGCGGCGCGAGCTACGGGAAAGGGTTTCTCGGCTTATTTGCTCGGATCGCTCAAAGCGGCTGTGGGTGTGGCTTTGCAACGGGCTCAGGCGCGTGTGATCTTGTTACGCGCTGCGTCGATGATGAGAGGCCCAGAGGCTGTTTGGGTGGAGCGGGAGGATGTTGAGGAGGAGATGGGATGGGATGCTCCGTGGGCGGATGCACCATACTTGGTAGACATGCGGGTTTAGAAAGTGGGTTTAGGGGGGGAGGTTTGGTTCGATGGGAGTGCAGTTGGGGTGCTTTGATGGGAGGGCTTGATGGTGTTTTAAATGTGTGTGCTATTGGGGTTTTCTTGGGGTTGTGTGTGCTGCTTTTTCTTCCTTCTTCCCTGTTTTTCTTCCTCCTATCATTTTTCCCCTATTCCCCTCCTTCTTTCTTCCTCTCTCCTTTTTTCTACTCACGTTATTCCTCCTTTTCTCCTCTCTTCCCGTTTCCACTCCTTTTCCTTGCGTAATTATGCTACATTGTAATAGATAGTACCTCGATACATATCAAATGTGGCGCCAATAGTGAAAATGAAACACGCAGGATTTCTAAAAAAAAAAAAAAATACAGAAAGTAGTGGAATAATGGAGCTCTACTATAAATTGATTCAGTTTATTGATTATATACAGATATCCAAATGTAGAGATAAAAATAGTACAGTATCAAGTGTATTCACTTCATGTTCGACACACCGCGTACGTAAGCCAATTGGATCAATTCCAACAGATTTGGAAAACAAATGCCTGAAATCGCCAAACGAAATTTACAAAGCCATCGGCCAATCACACGAGTTTCCGAACCATACAGTCGGTTTTGGACGATTGGTTCCGAAACTTTGGAAAGTGCAGGAGGACACGCGGTCCGCTCAAAAGCATAATGACAAGCAACATGGCCCATACTTTCGGAACCCTTCCCCGAGAGCAACTCCCCAAGTTACTTCGGAGTAGGAATCTCAACCCACGTTTTTTTCAGAAGGTCGTCGGCGAGTCAAGGGTTGTGGAGCCGTGGGGGACCTGAGGATGCAGAAAGGGGGAGTAGTGGCGGAAGCGGAACTGCGCGCGGCTGCGGAGTTGCGAATTCAAACGCCGCTTGCGGAGCTGCGCACTCTACCCGCTACAACGGCGGGGGGAACTGCGCACAGCCGATGCTTTGAGCGCAGCCACTCATTTGCAATCAGATCTCACGGAAGCGCGCACCGTGTTGGAGGATGAGGTGCGCTGCCCGCGTTTGACGGAGCTTTATGAGATTAGCCGCAAGTTGTTGCGCAGCCACTTCAGGGTCGTGTGACTGTGCGAAGACCGTGCGACGGACGAGCGTTTCGCGTGCAAGACGATACTGCTGAGCGGCGTGCGAGTGAGTCGCACAAAATGTCTCTTTTGCGTACTCCGCTTCCTCCTTCCCCTTTCCCTCCCCCCATCCCTGAACCTCCCCTACACGTGAGAAACCCTTGTTTTCTCCGCGTTCCTCCCCACCCGCGTTCTCCTCATTTCGCCTCCCCAAGCCTCCGTGCCACCACCTCCCTCTCCCAGCGAATGCCGCACTCTCGCCTCCTTCCCTCTCTCCCTGCATCTCTCCATGAAGCAGCGGGCGGAAGTTTCGTCCCTGGTGCTCTCAAAGAAGCGCCCCTCCCCCTCTTCATCCCCCCTTTTCCGCCCGTAAACCTTTCCGCCCGCACGCGCACTCCCTCTTCCCCAGCGATCTTATGGAGCTGAAGGGGCAAGTCTCTTCTTTAAAGACGCCTCTCAAGCCTCTTCCTCCCCTTCTTTCCCCTCCTCCACCCCTTCCCCCCCCCCCCCCCACCTCTTTTGGTCTCTCTCGTCCCCAGCGCCGCAACGATCACATGGAGCTGAGGGCGAAGGTGCTGTCGCTGTTGCGCCTGCAGGATGGAGGGGGAACGACGGGGAAAAGAACAGGGGGCAGGGGAGCGGGGAAGGGGGGAATGCGGAGCAGGCAGCACGGATGGGGAGCGGGAGGAGCTGGCGTTCGTACGGCTGTACGAGGTGGTGGTTGAAATGCGGACAGCGTTACATCTCGTCTTGGAAAACTGCCCAGGTGGCGATCTGTTTGACCTCGTTATAAGGCAGAAGAGGCTTAATGAAGCAGAAGCCGCCACTGTATTCAGGGATGTATCTCTGGTGCATACACACCCTTATTTTTTTCTTCCGCCCTTTGCCTCTGTAGCAACGATTTATTTGACCTCGTTAAAAAGCAGGAACGAGTTAATGAATCACAACTTGCAGCTGCGTTCAGGTGCACGCCCATCCCACAAAACCCTTTTATGTCCTCTAATCCCCTCCCTTTCTTCACTCAACTGGCAGGCATAAATTGGGTTGAGACGCACAGCGTTCTGCTGTGATCCCCGTGCGTCCCCCCTTCATCCCTTCCCTTACCTCCTACCCACTTTCCCCATTCCTCGTTCGCCTCTTCCACTCCACCCCCCTCCCCCATTGCCCCCCCCCTTCCCATCCCCCCGCCCGCTCATGAATGCATGATTTCGCCACTGTTCATGGCATGTGTTGATTGTCCCCCCTGCCTCAGGGCATGTCAAGAGTACCGATTCTCAAGTGCCTCACACCCCCACTCACCACTGCCCTTGCGGAGACCATTATGACTGCTGGATTCTCAGTTGCTCCTTTCCCTTCTTGCCTCCTCCTTGCCTCCTATTCCCCATGTTGTTCCCCCCCAGGCAGTTGCTGCTGGCAGTACATGCAATGCATCGCACGGGCATAGCGCACCGCGACCTCAAGCCAGAGAACATACTCGTTAGTAGCGGCCCCGGTGCTTGTAGAGGCCTTTGCACTGTAGCTGAGTGCAACTTCAATGGCAGTGGAAGCAGTGGGGACTGCAGTGGGGGAAGCAGCAACACGAGCCAGGGATGTTCCCATTGCAGGGAGGGTTTCAATACAGTCACATCCAGCGATACGACTTGCAGTGGTGACACGCCTCCCTCGTTACAGTCACTTAAAGATTCCATAAGTTTAGTCCCGTCTTCTGCTGGACATAGCAGCAGCAGCACAAGCACTGGGAGGAGGAGCAGCAGCAGCAAAAACGGCACAGGTAGCAGCATAAGGGGAACTCCTTTCCACTCTTCGCCCTCACCTACTCTCCCAGCATCCTCTCCCTTCCTCCCGCCTTCACCCCCCCCCCCCTCTCCCTCCATCATCTCCTTTCCACCTCTTACAAACCTCCCTGCCACCATCCCCTTCTCCCTCCTTCCCCCGTCTTTCCCTTCCACCCTCATCTCCCACCGCTTCCTTTTCTCCTCTTGCACCTCCTCCACCTCCTTTTCCTCCTCTCTGCTCGTCCCCTCCTCCCTCTCCGGTCACCACGGCAACCAGCCCCCCTGCGTGTCCTTGCACGGGCGTTCAAGTCAAGGTGGCTGATTTCGGGCTGGCAGCGACGCCCTCTTCTCCCACCGCGTCTCCTCCTCCTCATACCATCACGACAACCAGCCCCCCTCGTGTCCGTGCACGGGCATGCGAGTGAAGATAGCTGATTTCGGGCTGGCAGCAGCGCTGGCGCGCGGGCAGACAACGGCGTGTGGGGTGGTGGGCTCACCCTTCTATATGGCTCCTAAGATCATCCGGGGAAGGCCCTATGCGGGGGAGGTCGACATGTGGAGCCTTGGCTGCATTCTCTACATCTGCGTGTCGGGTATGTTGCGATTTAAACACCTACCTCTCAGGTATATTGTGATTTATACACCTGCATCTCGGGTATGTTGCGATTTATACACCTGTCGGTCGATTATGTTGCGATTTATTCACCTGTTTGTCGGGTATGTTGCTATCTATACACCTGCCTGTTGGGTATGTTGCAATCTATACGGCGGTGATCTGGTTATCCTGTACATGTCTGTGAGATCACACAAGAACACCCTTTTCAAGAAGCGGATGAGAAGGGTATGTGAAAGTGCTGCCTGATGCACATCCCTGTAACTGATAAATTCTGTAACCGCTAAACGTGCTTGCCATCATCCATTCCCACTAACATTTTCCAATATCTGAATGTTTTTTGCTTTCCACTCCTTCACGAACTGTGCAGTTCCACGGAAGGACACACCGCGAGGTGTTTGCTTCGGTGCTACGCTCGGCGCCAGACCTGAAAGGCGAGGTATGGGAGGGCATTTCAAGGGAGGCTAAGCAGCTGTTAAGGTGTCTGTTTGTAACGGATCCTGGGCGCAGGCTCAAGGCACATGAGGTGCTGAAACACCCGTGGGTCAGAGCGGCGTGTGGAGGAGACTGTGGGAGCCATGAGAGGGAGTGGAGGAAGGAAACGAAGTGGGGGAACGGAGAGGGAGTGGTGCGTGAGGGGGGTTGTAAGACTGACTGCAGGAGTGGAACGGGTGTAAACAGGAATAGGAAGGGTGTTACAGCAGAGCGCAAGGTGAATGGTGGAGTGGTGCATTTAGAAAGGCGTGTGTGGAGAAGCATCCAAAGGAAGGCGCCGATGGGCAGCATGTGGTGGGGCGTGAGGAGTGCTGCCCTGGGTGCCAGGCAAGCAGTCCCCACACTTGCTGTCAGAGCAGCAGTGCTGATGCTGCTGGCAGGCTAGCAGTGCAGGAGAAGGTGGGGGAGGGTGCAAGCAGGAATGGGGATGCACCAGAGACTAGGCAGATGCATGGGTTGGGGGGGGGGGGGGGAGTGGGAGAAGCATCAGCACTGCGGCATGTGGGAGTGGTCCCACCGTTGGCTGTAATGCTGTCGATTGTATCACGGTTGATTGTAGCACAGTTGTTTGTAGCACGGTTGATTGTAGCACGGTTGATTGTAGCACGGTTGACTGTCACACGGTTGACTGTAGTACTGTAGATTATAGCACCGGCATGGACTGTACCGCCATTGACTGTAGCACAGTTGTCTGTAGCACCACCGACTGTGGCACCACTGACTGTAGCACCACTGAATGTAGCATTTTTAACTGTGGCACCACTGACTGTAGCACTTCTAACTCTGAGAATTTTGAGTGTGACACGGCTGACTGTAGCAGTGGCTTTAATGGGGCTGGTGACTCTGCCATATTGAGTGGCAACAGTGGTGCTGGCAGGGGCAGCGGTGACACTGGTGATGATGACACTTGTGGCAGCTGCAGCAAACGTGGCAGTAGCGGCAGCTGCAGCGGATGTGGCAGCAGTGGCAGCTGCAGCGACACGTGCACTGGCAGCAGCGACAGTCAGTGCCGATGTGGCAAGAGTGCAGGCAGTGACAGGGGTTACAGCAGCAGTCCCATTTGCAGCAAGGACAGAGGCAATAGTGGTTGCAGTCCCAGTCACCATGCTTGGAGGATGAATGGAATGAATAATACGTACTTCGGAAGCGGAGGCAGTAGTGGTGGCAGCGGTGGCAGCGGAGGCCACAGTGGAGGCGGGAGGATGCAAGGCAGTATGCACCAGATACAGATGTCATGTGGATTGGGTCTACTCTTACATTGCTCTGCTCTTCTCTGTGTTGGTGGTTGCAGTCTGTTGCCATGGTTTGCCCTGAGTGTACAGGTAGCAAGTTGTGTTATGCAGTTAGAGAGTTATGTATGTGTAGCATTTGTACATTCCCCTATTTTAGGAGCTGGTATTGGCTGAGTATTATCAAGGCAACTGCTGCTTGTGTTCAATAGAGTTCCATAAAGTACTGTTTGAAGTTCATCGAGCAAATTTGTGCAAGTGGTTGCACTTGTTGACAGTCAGGTCACTGTTGTTTTTCTGCCCTTAAATGTAATTTACCGGATGTTGCTAAGCAAGCACTCATGCCGTAAGAAAATTGTGACAAAAAGTTAGAATAAAGATGTACAGATTCCCTATAACATGCAACTGAATTGCGTCGCGGGGACACTGCTATCGGTTGGGCGACGTCTGTTGCTTGGGTTGGCAAAGGCGGGTCAGCCTTGATAAATTTCATGTCGCTGTTCAGTTCGGTGAAGAGCGGTTCAGAATGATGACGTGAACAAACCGATGTGGTTTGCACAACATTGTACTCAACTGGTTATACGCGTGAGCCGTCCCAAACCCTATGCACCCAAGTTCCAGAACCCTCGGCTGAACTGCTTGGGCGACTGTTAGGACGATGAAAGAAACTCTATGGTGGCAAGCCATTATTGAGACGCTTTCTTTGTTTCTATCGTTTTGAGCTTGGCGGTGCGTGTCCGACTTCTGGCGGGATGAGAGGCGTGTTCACGTGGGATGTGACAATCTCGAATGGGGCGTCCTGACCAGAGCGGTCAAGTCGCCCATCAGAACATGCTCACTCGTTTCTGTCACTGTTGTTTGAACACGTCTCGACCTCGTTTGAACGGGCCGTTCGTTATTCTTTTTTGCTTCGGTCCCATTCTGGTGGCAGTCATTCTTCGATTTCCAGGCACGTCCACGACAAATTGTTTTCTCTCAGCTAAGCTTCCCCGTCACTCCTCCCTTGGATCGAAGGCAGCAAAGCAGCCATGTCCGATGCATCGGCGATGTGCCATAAAGAGGCTGGAACTACTTACAAGGGGGGATACATTGTAATCAATGGACGGCCTTGCAAGGTACTATGCTGTGACAGAATCCTAGGTGGCGTGGGTTGCTCGCTTCTGTTTGCCCATTTTTCCCACGAAATGGTAGTTTATGTATCTCATGATGTTCTTACTATCGATCCACAGGTGGTGGAGATTTCTACCTCTCGTACGATGAGCGGTCACAAAAAGTGCCGTTTTGTCGCAACTGATTTATTCACCAATGAGACGCTGGAAGACAGCTCGCCGGCTTCTCACAACTGCGAGGTGAGTTCATTAGCACACTAGCAGTCTTCGTCGGTCATGCTGTGTTACTCATTGATGGCTTTTGTGGGTCCAGGTCCCAAACGTGGTCTACGCCGAGTATACAGTCCTCAAAATTGTGGATGGTGACAAGGTACGTGTAAATTGATTGTCAAATGCCGTTCCCCTTGGCTTGCGCTCTTGGCGTCGTGATAGTCGGCGACGTGTTGCCTTGCAGGTATCTCTGATGTTCGAGGGGGGTGACACGAGGGAACTTGACCTTCCCCCCGACGAGGCTCTCCGCTCGCAGGTACGATATCATTTGGGCAGGAAGCCTGTTCTTTCTTTGTTGTGCGCCATGTGTTTCATAATGGCGCGCGTAATTCCACCTTTGAATCTCCCTCCAGATCAAGGACGGCCTTGGGCAAGACAAGGAGCTCTCTCTTACTGTAGTGAGCGCTATGGGTCAAGAGCAGATTTGCGATGTTAAAGAGATTAATCCACGATGAATAATTGGTCAACGTTGCTGTACACTATTTCCAGGTGCCAGTACATCACTCTGGTTAGTATTGTGTACGCTAACACGCTGAGTTTTATGTCTGTTGTGTCCACTGGTACAGCACCTGACTTGGCATGGAATACCGTGATGTGATACCCTGAGTAGGCCACCTTAAGGTTCTAATCAAAGTTGTCAAAGTTGGATTTCTGCCTCACGGTTCCAAGTTGGATTTTGCCAGAATGAGTTGAGTTGAATGTGTACCCTCGCATCAAACTTCCATTGCCGCATGCACGCATCACTGCATCTGACAGTGCCTGCGCGGACCGGTGGGCATCCAGCATGGCATCAATAGCAGAGACCTCCACACCACAACGTACTGTGCCACACATGGCACCCCTTGCTGTGCCACACATGGCACCCCTTACTGTGACGCGCATGGGCCCTGCTTGCCCATGGTGCCAGCAGGGTGTTCTGCTGCTTGCATGGGCGAGGAGTCAGTGGCTGGCTGGAGGCGGACCATCTGGAGGCAGGCAGCATAGGGAGAGGGAAGCACATGGCAGAACATGGCAAGAGACATCCTAATCACAGCAGAAAGAATTATGGGCGAACCAAGGTCGCCACCTAGAATAACCACACAAGATGCAGAGGCACCGTGCGTTGCTGCCCTCCCATCTCCCACCCTCCCACCCCCCACCCCCCACCCTCCCACCCCCCACCCTCCCACCCCCCACCCTCCCATCTCCCACCCTCCCATCTCCCACCCTCCCATCTCCCACCCTCCCATCTCCCAAGCTACCTTGGTCCGTTGTCTCATGAGTAGAGCCAGCAGAGAGTGCTCCCCTGCTTTCACCTCCCCTGCTTGCATCCCATCCCCTGCATTCTGTACTCGAGATGCCTGCACCCTCCCCTCCTCCATCCTCCCCTCCTCCCTAACCTCCACCTCCCTCCTCTCCACCTCCCTCCTCTCCAACTCCCTCCTCTCCACCTCCCTTCTCTCCAACTCCCTCCTCTCCACCTCCCTTCTCTCCAACTCCCTCCTCTCCACCTCCCATCTCTCCAACTCCCTCCTCTCTAATTCCCTCCCGTCCACCTCTCCGCCATCCATATCCCTTCCTTCCTCAGCCCTCCCGTGTTCACCACCCCATCTGCGGCTGCCAACAACTCCAGCAGCACAACAGGTAGCCCCTCTGCCCTGCTCCTCCACGCATTCGCCCATCATTGTGCATTTGCCTGTGCAGTTGACTGCAATACCCCACTCACGCCCATCACTCCACATGCCACCTGCACACCCGCTGACCCACTCCCTGCTGCCCCTCCCCCGCTCTATCCCTCCCTTTCTCCCCCTTTGCTTCCCCCTTCTCCTCTTCTTTCTCCTCCCACTTTTCATCTCCTTCATCCTCATCCCCCTCACTCTCCACGTCAGAAGCACGCTTCCACCACTCAGCTCCCTCCCCATTCCCCTTCCCTCCTCGTCCCAACCCATGCTACTCACCCACACCTCCACCCCCCCTCGCTCACACAACATTCGCCACACCCATCCTACCCTCTCCCTGTGAGCTCTGCTGTGTCAAATTCGCAGATGCGCCAAGCCTTGCCGCCCGGCATGGGTGGTCGGCGCATGGGAGGTGTGGCAGGGGGCGGGCGAAGAGGAGAAGCGCGGTGTGCGCAAGGGGCGTGCACGGGAGAAGAGGGGAAGCGCGGTGTGCGCAAGGGGCGTGCACGGGAGAAGAGGAGAAGCACTTTGTGCGCAAGGGGCGTGCAAGGGAGGTAGGAAAAGAGGATGGGGTCGGTGGAAAGACGGTGGGCAGAGGGAAACAATGATGAGGTAACGGGGAGGTGCAGAACAAGGAGGGGAAACACAACAAAGGAGGGGAGGTAGTTGTCACGCGAGGTCACAAGGCATGGACGAGCAAAAGGGTGGATAGAAAAGAAACGATGATATCAATCTGATATAGTGCTGAGGTATAGCAGGAGGAGGGCGAGATGGACGAAACGCCAGTGATGGAAGAAGGAAGGGTGGATGGACGAAAGAAAATTCGGCAACAATACGGCACCAAATTGCATGAGGGAGGGAGGGACGGGGAGAGGAGAGAGAGGGAAAATGAAGGGAGATTAGTTACCCAGCAGGAAGTTAGTTACCCAGCAGGAGGCTAGTTACCCAGCAGGAGGCTAGTTACCCAGCAGGAGGCTAGTTACCCAGCAGGAGATTAGTTACCCAGCTGGAGGATGTGGAAAGAAGGGTGAGGCGCTGCAGCGGGAGGTTAGTCACCGAGGGAGCAGGGCAGAGAAGAGCAGTGGAGCCACGAGCACGCAGTGCCTCTCAGTGTTGCACCCACACATCACACACACCCTGCACTGCGTCCCCATGATGCCCTCCCTGCTGCTGCTGTCCCTCTCCTCTGCAGAAAGGTGAACGCACGCCCCTCCTGCCACTCCTCATCATCATCCCATCCACTCCCCTCTCTCGATGCCACACACCCCTTCTCCCACTCGTCCTCATCATCCCATCCATCCCCCTCCCTCCACGCCCCTGTCCCCTCATCATCGCCTTCCAACCACTCCTCTCCACTCGCCTCCTCTCCACTCGCCTCCTCTCCACTCGCCTCCTCTCCACTCGCCTCCTCTCCACTCGCCTCCTCGCCACTCGCGCTGTCTCCATTTCTCTCGCCTCACTTGTCCTCTGTTCTCTCCTCGTTGCACTTGTCAAATCACTGCTCTCTCCCTGCCATTCCCCCTCTCTCTTGCCTCCTTTCCCCTCTCTCTCACTCCCTTCCCTTTCCCTCCCACAGTCTCCTTCCCCCCTCTCACTTGCTTCAAAATCTTCATCACTCTCACCACCCCTTTCCATGCCCGCACCAATCACTCTCTCAAACTCCCCGCTCTGGTCGATCCCACCCTCTTCCGACCCCGTTAGTCCCCACCCATCCTCCACACCCCTCTCCCCCTCACGCTCCTCCTCCTGCCTCATCGCCCCAAGCACATGCCGCCACCATCCCTTCCCCCCACCCACATGCTCCTTCACGCACTCCTCCCCCATCTCCTCATCTGCTGAACCCCATTCTGCCCTTCTGCCATCTCCTCCCTCTCCTTCCTCGCCCGGCATGCTCCCTTCCCTCTCCTCATGCTCCACCTCACACGCTTCCTCTCCCTCCCTCTAGCCCCACCACCAACCGCATCTCCCCCATCCTCTCTCTCGTGCAATTCTCCCGCACTCTCATCAGCACTCTAGCTCCCATTATCTTCCCTCACTCCATACCCGCGTCATCTTCCATTTCTCCTTCATGGCGCCCTGTTTGCTGCCGTCCTGTCTGTTGCCGCCCACGCCTGTGGTCAGGGCACGGCAAGGCCTCCCCTCCCTCACACACTCGTGCTGGCAGCGGCAGGGCGGGGGGGCACACAAGCAGCAGGCGGACAGAATGCACTGCTGCTAGCTGGGGAAGGAGGGTGGAATGAAAAAGAGGGGGGGGGGGGGGGGGGGGGGGGGGGGGGAGGGGTAAAGGAAAGGGGGTTTGGAAAAGGCGCAGGGGGCAGGGGCCACACAGGCAGCAGGCATGCGGAGTGCACTGCTGCTAGCTGGCGAGGGGGGAGAAGGTCATTGGGGTAAAAACGGCACAGCATGGGTGCTTATGAAGGCACCGCATCTGCGAGTCAGCATTGATTCGCCCATCACCACCCATCATCACCACCCATCACCACCCCTCTCTCACCCAGCATCGAATGCGCATTCCCTCTCCACCCACTCCTCCTGCCACCCCTACTCCACTCACACCTTCCTCCCTCCGCCTCACGTCCGCTGCTCCTCCTCCTCGCCCCTCTCTCCTCCCCACCCCTTCCTTGAAGCATGCACTACCCATTTCCCCCATGCCTGCGCCACCGCCTCTACCCCACCCTCCTCCCACCCTCATCCCCACCCTCCTCCCCATCCTCCTCCCCACCCTCCTCCCCACCCTCCCCACTCTCCTCCCCACCCTCCCAACCCTCCTCCCCATCCTCCTCCCCACCCTTCTTCCCCACCCTCCCCACCCTCCCCACCCTCCTCCCCACCCTCCTCCCCATCCTCCTCCCCATCCTCCTCCCCACCCTCCTCCCCACCCTCCTCCCCACCCTCCTCCCCACCCTCCTCTCCATCCCCCTCCGGCCGCTGCTCACCGCTGCCTTTTCGTGCCAACGGGGCTGCCGTGGACTCTGCCTCCCATGCCACGGCCGTTGCACCATCTCTCCTGCACCCCCTCCTCTCCTCCTCTACTGCGTGTGCCACTATGAGTTCTCTCCTCCTGTGCATTCCATGCCACTGCGCCATCACTCCTTCGCCCGCTCCAGTTTATCCCCACCGTCCTCTCTCCAATGCCACTCCCTCTCACTCGCCCCTCTGTCTCTGCTGCAGCAGGTGAAGATGCAAGCATAGGAGTAGGCACGGGAGCAGGCACGGGAACAGGCATGGGAGCAGGCATGGGAGCAGGCATGGGAGCAGGCATGGGAGCAGGCATGGGAGCAGGCACGTGAGCAGGCATGGGATCAGGCATGGGAGGAGGCATGGGAGCAAGCATGGGAGCGGGCATGGGAGGAGGCATGGGAGCAGGCACGGGAACATGCGTGGGATCAGGCATGGGAGCAGGCATGGGAGCAGGCATGGGAGCAGGCATGGGAGCAGGCACGGGAGCAGGCACGGGAACAGGCATGGGATCAGGCATGGGAGGAGGCACGGGAGCAGGCATGGGAGCAGGCATGGGAGCAGGCATGGGAGCAGGCACGGGAACAGGCATGGGAGCAGGCATGGGAGCAGGCATGGGAGCAGGCATGGGAGCAAGCATGGGAGCAGGCATGCGAGCAGGCACGGGAACAGGCATGGGAGCAGGCATGGGAGCAGGCATGGGAGCAGGCATGGGAGCAGGCATGGGAGCAGGCACGGGAGCAGGCACGAGAGCAGGCACGGGAACAGGCATGGGATCAGGCATGGGAGGAGGCACGGGAGCAGGCATGGGAGCAGGCATGGGAGCAGGCATGGGAGCAGGCACGGGAACAGGTATGGGATCAGGCATGGGAGCAGGCATGGGAGCAGGCATGGGAGCAGAGCAGGCACGGGAGCAGGCATGGGATCAGGCATGGGAAGAGGCATGGGAGCAGGCATGGGAGCAGGCATGGGAGCAGGCACGGGAGCAGGCACGAGAGCAGGCACGGGAACAGGCATGGGATCAGGCATGGGAGGAGGCACGGGAGCAGGCATGGGAGCAGGCATGGGAGCAGGCACGGGAGCAGGCATGGGAACAGGTATGGGATCAGGCATGGGAGCAGGCATGGGAGCAGGCATGGGAGCAAGCTTGGGAGCAGGCACGGGAGAAGGCACGGAGCAGGCATGGGAGCAGGCATGGGAGCAGGCATGGGAGCAGGCATGGGAGCAGGCATGGGAGCAGGCATGGGAGCAGGCACGGGAACAGGCATGGGATCAGGCATGGGAGGAGGCATGGAAGCACTTGCCACAGAATGATGTGCGTGAGGTGCGCACAGAGCGAAGTAGGAGGAGGAGGAGGAGGAGGAGGAGGAGGAGGAGGAGGAGGAGGAGGAGGAGGAGGAGGAGGAGGAGGAGGAGGAGGAGGAGGAGGAGGAGGAGGAGGAGGAGGAGGAGGAGGAGGGAGAGGAGGAGGAGGAGGAGGAGGAGGAGGAGGAGGAGGAGGAGGAGGAGGAGGAGGAGGAGGAGGAGGAGGAGGAGGAGGAGGAGGAGGAGGAGGAGGAGGAGGAGGAGGAGGAGGAGGAGGAGGAGAGGAGGAGGAGGAGAGGAGGAGGAGAGGAGGAGGAGGAGGAGGAGGAGGAGGAGGAGGAGGAGGAGGAGGAGGAGGAGGAGGAGGAGGAGGAGGAGGAGGATGAGGAGGAGGAGGAGGAGGAGGAGGAGGAGGAGGAGGAGGAGGAGGAGGAGGAGGAGGAGGAGGAGGAGGAGGAGGAGTGAGCGACCATCCGCAGTGGCGTCACTTCGTGCTGATTGTTGCCCCCCACCGCAGAGGCTCTCGCCCTTCCATCACAAAAAACCTGGGTTTTTGAAGGGGGTTCGAAGGGGTGTACATTTCAGGTGTTTTGGTTGGCGAAGCTCCAAAACGAAATCGCGACCAATCACGGACCGAAATCGGACCGCGTTTGTTTGTTGGAGTTGGAAATCAATTTCGGGATGTCGTACATTGTCGGTTGTTTGTGGCCTGCCAAATTAGTTATCATTTAGGTAGATTTGTTCAGCTTTGACTTCAGTAAAAAATGACACTCTATAATTATGCTGGCTATTTTATTACGAGATAAATGGATTACATATGATACTTATTTAGGAGATAGGTACTGTCCAGATGGAACGCCTTCACCACATGGACGTGGCGAAGCAGCGCTTCAAGCGGAATCACGGAGTACGCATACACTCCAATCGTCCACTTGAGGTGAATGCATCCAGTTGCAGCATCCTCCTCGCACGCATTCAATATCTAATGTAAGCCAGCTCCACCCTCTCTCCACGGATTTTTGTGCAGCAGCAACCTTGCATACCACTCCTCTCTCCAACCATAGCTTACACCCTCTACTGCAACATCCAAGTATCGGGGCCTCAAAATAGTCAGGTGTCGCCCGAACGAAGTGAGAAACCCTTGAGAAGCTGGCATCGTTTGCCGCTGGGATGGCCAGCGATGCATGGGCCTGCATAACAATGGCGGTTAGTAATCAATTGGTTTAGGGGCAAATAAAAATTGATTGTATGATCCACGAAGTACTTACTCTGATCTTGGGGGCGCATCCTGCATAACGTACTAGCGCATCCTTGAGGACAGCTTGTGCAACTGGGTGTTGCTTGGCCCACTTCCTTGCAAACCAGTTGGTGGAGGTGGGTTCTTCTGGTAACTCCACAGGGAGAAAGTAGGACTCTTTGATAAGAGTTTGTGTGCCAGTCTCAATGGCCTGCCAACAAACAGTAGTGAGTTTATTACATTATGCATGCATATCCTTGCAATTCAATCACTAAACAGGTTTACCTGCCGCATGGCTGTGTCCCGGCCAGCGGGATCGTCCACCGGCACAACGTCCGGGATGCGCCTAGCATGGAACTTCATAATCTGCCCATCTACATTGCGCTTGTTGGACCGACGGTAGATCCTCTTTACCAACGGTCCGTGCAAGTGCTCGAACATGTTGGTGCTGAATTCCGTGACATGACCCGCTCGGCGAATGGAGTCGATGTAGTGCGACATGAAATGGGTTTTCACAAGGCACCTGGAGGATGGCTGCTTTGGAAAAGCAGCCTGCAACATATGCAAGGACATCAGAGTCTACTACAGCATACTGCGACCTACTTTAGTTGATTTACTATCATGGTTTATTAGCAACATCCTCCCAAGATAGGTTACTGCAACAGCTTAGGTGCAGTGGCCAGGCATTCATGCAATGCTCAGGCATTTACATGCATGTTAATAGTACCGGGAGGTCTTCTTCTTGAGATCCCGCAGGGACCGCTCGGTGTGCCCCGTTGGCTGGCAACACAAGAGGTACCAGCCAAGATAGGCATGAACGGCATCCATCTGGGGCTGGCAAAGTAGGCCAACAAAAACAAACACCATGACCTGCAATTTTCAAAGAGCATAGAATGGAAGGTGGGTATGAGTAGTTGGGAGATGCGTGACAAGATGAGCAAACGGGTTTGGAGGCGGAATTGATGAGATCAGGAGAATGGGTAATGAGATGAAGCAGGGGGTGTGTTGTAGTATGGAATCAGCATGCTGCTTCTGCATGGTGCACGCTATCGCACAAGATGATAACATGCACCATGGCTTTCATACCTGCATGACGGCCCTGTGCTCATAGGCCGCGACACATGCTTCGGTCTCGAAGTAGGCGCTCTCTGGCAGGCGCATGTGGTTCAGGTGCATGCGGTCGCGAATGAGGGACAGGCGCCTGCGCATACACAACAGTTCAAGGGCGGCACAAGTATAGAAACATGTTAGTAAGAGGAGGAGAGTGCGGATTGGAGTGTATATGACAAAGAGCAACTAATCTAATCCCCCAAAACACTGACCTGTCCATCTGCTTCACGCGCCGCTTCTTCATCTTGCGCACGACAGCCACAATGTGGCTCATCATGCCTAGGTCCGCCTGGTGCATGATGCCAGGCACGACAACGAGGTAGGGATTGCCCCACACGGTCCCTGGGACATCCCACTTCCAGAGCACACACTAGAAAAGGGGATGTGGTGGGGAATGGTGGAGAAATGTAATTGAGACATGTGGGGACATTGTGTATTGTTGCGGTAAACAACATGTGGGGACAGCTCAATAGGGTAGAGCACATCTCCCCCATTACTGAGCAACACGGAGTGCGTAGACTACACAGTAGCCCGGGGGACAGATCGCTCACCTCAACCGGGTAGGTCGAGTAGGTCTTGCATGGGTCGGCCTGGCTTGATGTCAACCCAGCCGCCTCATTCACGATCCATTGCTGCTGTTCAGGCGTGCGCGGCGTGTTCCGTGCCTTGACAGCAACCAGATGCTCCTGGTGTAGCACGGGGGGTGGGATGGGATAAACAGGTAAGGGAGGTGAGTTTATGAGTTCCGTCAGGCGACATTCAAATGACAAAGGATCTGAAGGCGCGCACATGGCATGTTTGCTCACCTTTGCAGCATAGCAGATGCTGCACGGCATCCGCGATCCATGCGAGAGTGTGCATGTGATCTTGCCGCTCTCGGGGTAGTCGCACACCCAGGCGTACAGCAGGGGCCGCACGGTTTGCCAATCACCGAAAGGGTCCCTGAGACGGAACCCGCTACAAGGAACATGTAAAGTGGCAACTGGGGATTCGAAGGATGGCTTTGTGCACCAGCGAAGAGGGACAAAGGGGACTGCTACATACAGAGACGCTTTGCATATTATGCAGGTGATTGGGTGACGACAAAGTAAGACAGAAACCGAGGACGGACCTTTCCATGCCATCGGGAAGCGGCTGCAGCACGGTGATGACGCATCGCTGGAAGAGCATCACCTTTTCCACGGCATACATTGTAGAAGGGGGGATTGGCAGTAGGGCAAGTAGCGTGTGCCCGTCTTTCCCCCATCGCTTGGCCTGAGACATGTTGGCAAGCGTCATCATGAGCGGCCACGCCTTCTTCCGGCCGTTGTTGCTCATGTGCGTCACATCCGAATATAGGATGATTCTCCCCACGACTTCGGACCATCCGAAGTGTTCCTGCAATGCACGACAAAGAGGCAACGGACACATGGTTAAACACTACCAAGGTAACTTGTCGCCTTGCGGATTAAACCAGCTTCATAGCATGTGCACATGACACACTCAAGATGATCCAGACACATCAGCGCAGCAACGGAGGCATGAGCACGGATCTGGTTTTGGTGGGTAACGGGGTATTTCCATACCTGAGCATCGTTCCACCATATTCCTGTTTCCGGCGTGTTATAGCGACGCTCGCCTGTGTCAGGGTCCTCATCGAGACGCGCCTTGAGCTTGAAGCCGGGCGCGTTGTTGGTATGCCCAAATAGTTCAGCGAATGTCTGGTGTACGGTAGCAAAGGCAGGAGAGAACAGGGGCATGGTTAGTGGCGTTGAAGGTGGGTCAGATCTCATACAAGCATAAAAAAGACAACTTTCAACAAGCACCACATGGTTGCGGCATCAGCGTAAAGCAGCCACGGATTCAGAGTCGGCTTACGTGAGCTGAGTTCTGGAAGAGAAGGCGCTGTGGCGGATGACCATCGATCTCAAAGGTCGCCACTGACCATCCGCGATTGAGCCCTACCAAGCGCTCCATCTCGAACCGCCCTAGATCCTTGCAGTTCCGGATCTCTGAGATCACAAGAGGCGCAAGGCCGGGCTCCACCACGAGCTGAAGCAGGCCATTGATATCAATCTCCGCCATTCCCATTCCGCCATTCACGCGCCGAACAAAATGCAGCAGCTTCAACGCAAGTGGATTGAGGGGCGTGGCATTGCTCTGTCCGGAGATGATTGTCGGCGGCGCGGCATGACTCACTTCTGGGCGCCTCTTAGGATGCTCACTCGTGTCAGCTGTAGGTGTTCCTGGTGGCGGTTGATGTTCATCTTCAGGAGCCCCCTCGTTCACGGCCGAGGGTGTTTCATCTTCGTCAGCTTCTGGCATGCGAGGGGGACCGATCATACTGACGGTGTTGGACGCGTTAGACGCGGTAGGGGAAGCGGGAGCAGCGGGAGCGTCCGACAGAATGTCGTGGACGAATAGCAGTGCGTGTAGACCGGCGGATGGTGCAGATCGCAAGGCCTTGCCACGGCGGAAAGCCCTTGACAAGGGGTCCGCCGTGACTTATGACCGCCATAAACTTGGGCGTTGGGGAACCATTTGTTGCAGAACTCGCAGACAATGCCGGGAAAAGAGCCCATGTATTCAAAATCGGTCTAAGAGTTGAGAAATGGAGTATGAAGCTACTAGCCAGTTTGAAGCTTGTGAACGCATTTAGTACACGGTCAATGAAGGCTCTCACTCCAGCACGGTCATCGCCAAAGCGCTTACTGTCCACGGCGGCTTGGATCTCTGCACGGCTGGCACTTGATCGTGGCGCCATTGTAAGGGACTGGCTAACGATGTGGCACGCAGCGCGGCCGTGACAAGGCTAGATACAGACCGTCGATAGCACGGCATTTCCCTTTCCTACAAAGCGTGTCGCCCCGTTTTAGAGTGACCACGACGTGAGCAGACCTTATGCAGTGGAGTATAGCAAGCTTGGTCGTGAGTGTGCGTCACAAGCACGGTGAGAAGTACGTGCCTCTTGATTCAAAACTTGGGTTTTTGAATCGTGCGTGAGAGTCGGGGTGGAAGAGGAAGAGAGGGAAGAGATCTGTTTGGTGCTGTGATTCTTTGGAGAGTCGCTATAGGGGGGAAAACGCGATCACGTAGGTGTGCCCAAAGTGGTGCGCACCTCCAGAGCCTTAATCCGAACCAGGTAATGACCAGGTACAGTTACATTTTACATGTGAACTGATTTCACTTATATTTTTTAGGGCCCCTTACTTTAGGGCCTGCTCATAACCAACCCCTTATTGACAACGACAGTGTTTGTAAACCCGCCCAGTCCTATAGTGTGGTCTGAAAACATACGGGAAGTACCCAACTCCGTACCCTAACGTAAGGTTGATGCATGAGACGAATATCTAAATCGTCGCTTCTCAAGATGTTTAGTGGACCTCAATGCATCATGTTGAAGGTGAATGCAAGAATTGAGCCCAAACCAACACCATACCACAACGGTTTCACCATGTCGCGCAACACATGGGCCTGAACGCTGCAACGTCGGCCCGGGTACAAGGGAGCGGCGCATGACGAGGCGACGCGTGTCAGGTGGGTGGGGGGTGACGTGGCTTGTGGTAGGGGGGTGTGACGTGGCTTGTGGTAGGGGGGTGTGACGTGGCAAGTGGGGCGGGTTGTTGGTGGACGTGGCGGATGCAGGAGGGTGTGACGTGGCGGAAGGTGAGGGTTGGGGATGACGTGGCGGTTTGAAGGGTTCAAGGGAGCGGCGCATGACGAGGCGACGCGTGTCAGGTGGGTGGGGGGTGACGTGGCTCGTGGTAGTGGGGTGTGACGTGGCAAGTGGGGCGGGTTGTTGGTGGACGTGGCGGATGCAGGAGGGTGTGACGTGGCAAGTTCACACAGTATTGCTAAGCACCATTGTGAGGTCCCGTCGCCACAATCATAACTGCTGGTTTCTCTCTCCGATGTCGTGTTGTATACCCTACACCCCCGCGCAGAACAAAGCCTACTTAGTGACCTCTCAGCTCTTGTTTCTGAACCCGGCGCCAAAAATACAGTACTACCCTACACCAGAGGAAGTGTTCGAATCGTTCTCTGTCCACTTGTCTGCCGAGGGGCTAGAGTCAATGAAGCTGCTGTGGTTGCACAATGACAAGTCAACTAAGGCAGTCTTCAACCACCAGATGTCATCAACAAGGGCAACAATCAACTCCACCCTCAGGCCAGCAGCATACACCGGCATGGGCCTTGCCGATTACCGCCATCTCGTGGATAGCCTGCCCACTGAGCTACACCCAAAGAGGTGGTTCGACGACGAGCAACTCCTAGCCGAGTACAGAGATGGTATGTGCAACTAACAAACACCATATGCCCCTCCAAATGCTAGTTGGCAGCTACATATCAGTGGGCGATGTGGCTCACCCTGACTCTCATCCCCCCCACTTGATTTCTCTGCACCCCCTTTCCGACCTACACCCTCCCTACCAAAATGCAGAACAGTGGGCCCTCAACTGGCACTTTGACAAGGCCACCGGGACGCCCTTCAGCAACCCCTTGTTCGCTTATGCGTTCAAGCTCTCCTTCAAGAGGGGCGGGGTCGTGTTCACCAAGTTCAAGAGCCGCATGGTGGCATGGGGCCTGTTATCAGTAAGGATGTAGCATGCATTTGTACACCCATGCATCATCCCCTAAACCCCTTGCCTGTACTTCATCTAAACACCTGGTCGCTTAAGTATTTGCGGTTACGTAGATAGTGACGACTGAAATCACTGCTTTGAATTGGCTCGTTTAGCCGTAACACCCCCTCCTCATACACCATCCACCCAACCCTACACCACATTGCAGATCGAGTGGCCCCTTCTGCAGGATAAGCATCGCAAGCGAATTTCGGCCCAGCCGGATCAAAACAGGCCAGACTACTTCGAGTGGTGCAAAAAGGTGAAACAGATGATCCACTTTGCTGTCGTGGAGAAGAGGATCCCACATGATTCAGCTCAGGGTGCGTTCGTCTTCCCGAACAAGTTCCTCATCGACGATGGCGACCTTGGAGAGGTCGTTCTTGCCCACCGGGCGCTTGCAGGGCGCGGTATTGCGTAGGCTATTTGACCTGGTGCTAAAACTATTGGTTGTTAGAATGCTAAATGATGGTTGTTGTGAACCAAAAAAATAATGTAATTTTGAAATGGGAAAAATAAAAAATGAATAAAACCAGAACGGAGATTTGAATCATTTGGTCCCGCATTTGCACCAAAACGGGTTGTGCCCGAAAGTCATCATGAAAATCTCGCGTGCCAAATTGGAACTTGTTCCGAGCCAAACCTTGTCGCGAGATGTGTCTCGGAGCTCCTATCAAATGACTCCAACCGTCGGTGCATTGGATCCGGATTTTTTTACGCGAAGTCAATCGAAATCAAAATTCATCAAAACTTAGCATAGGGTTTTTGTGATGTCATGCTCTCACCGGCCTGGTGGGCGTACACAAACACATGCGCCTGCCGCCCACTCGCCACGTGGCACGCACAAACCATACCCCACCTCACTACGTCACTCTCCCCACACCCGGCGCTGCCACGCTGGCAGGTGGCTGGCAGGTGGCTGGCAGCGCGCGGCTGGCTACGCAGCAGGTGAACCCCACCTCGCCCTCCCCTCGACCCCTCCCACCCTCATACACCTCACCTTTCCTTCACGCTCATTCTGTTGCCGCCGGTGATGGTAATCCCGCTGCCACTGCGGCTGCTGCACTGCACCGCTGAAAGACACATGCATGTTAGCATCGGGGATAGCAGCACGCATGAGGCACGGGCATCTTCAGCAGGCGGGCAGGGCAGCGGGTACGGCAGGCGGCAGGCGGAGACGACAAGGTGGTCGGTGGAAACCACGCGCGCGCGCGCGCCGCGCACAGCATTCCGCGCACATGCGCTCTCCGCCATTGCTCCCCCCGCCCCTGCTCGCTCTCGTCGCTGCTGCTTCTCTCGCAGCGACCGCTACCGCTACGGTTATCGTACTCGTGATTGTGAATGTGACTGAGGAACGGATCGTGGCGGTTCGTATTACTGACGGCCATGGAGTCTGTCGCGTCGCGCCGCGCCGGCGCGTCGTGACAAGATTTTGATAAAATTAATGTGCGGACGTGCGGACATGTGGATAAGCAGAATGAGGAGCGTCTACAGTAGCTCTGCACATTCGTTGCTCCCTGTTGAGAGTCGCCGCTCTAGAGAATGAAATGCAAGTTTTGAGTTGTGGCTGTGGCAGTAACCGAGTTGGGACAACTCACGATAACAAGTGTGGAGGTGAAAGGTGGGAGAGGGTGGAATAACGGAGTGGGAAAAGATGGGTGGAAAGATCTGGTTAGAAAAATCAGGGGTCGAAAGGCGAGATGGGAAAAAAGGGGTTGGGGAAAAATGGTAGGTATAACGGGTCGGGAGAAAAGCAGTTGGGAGAAAAGCGGGTGGGAGGAAAGCGGGTGGGAGAGAAGCGGGTGGGAGAGAAGCGGGTGAGAGACAAGCGGGTGGAGAAAACTGGGTGGGAGAAAACCGGTTGGGATAAAAGCGGGTGGGATTATAGCGGTTGGGAAGGAAATTGGGTGGGAGAAAAGCGGGTGGGAGAAGCCAGGTGGGAGAAAAACGGGTGGGAGAAGGCGGGTGGGAGAAGGCGAGTGAGAGAAGGCGGGTGGTAGAAAACGGGTGTGAGAGGTGGGTGTGAAAAAAAAAAAAAAAAAAAAAAACGGGGTAAAATACAAAAGGATTGGTAATGGTCTTGTGGCACGAGCCTGCGAGAGAAACCTCCACCTCGCACTCAGCCTCGCTATCCCTCCACCGCTGGGAGTGGGGGGTTTTCGCTGCTCGGTTTCCCGCCGCACGCGGTGCCCCCCCCTCTCTAACTGCCACGTCATCCGCCCTTGCGGGCGGATGCCATTGCGGATTCTCAGCTTGGAGCGGACGAGTCATCGATGTGGCAGGTGAAGGGTCTCAGAAGTGTGCGACAATCCCAAGGGTTGGCCCCCACTCAGGCTACAGACGAGCGCGACCTCGTCCGGCGACTCATGACGCCAATTTTTGATTGTATGTAGAGCGATTCAAAACAAGACTCGACGATATCGTCGGAAGGGTTGAGTAGTTAGCTAATTTCATGGTTTTAATTATTCTGTGTATAATTGCTGCTTTTAGCAGTGATGTCTATAGGCAACCTATTTGTATAATATAGTGTCAATAGGTTGTTGCACTAGTGGATGTACCATGATGTGTTGTTTTGAAGTTACATCGTTGGATGTCTCACGTCATTACATATGTGTCTCACGTGACATTATCTTCCAAAAAAAAATTGTGTGTTTCGTCTCCTGTGCAGTTCGCCCATATTTGTTTGTGTTTCGATGTATAGCGCTCATGCCTCGATTTCCCGTCGCTTGTTATCATCTAACAGTTGCAAAACAGACTCAAGAACCGAACCACTTCAAGAAACAACAATCTGCCAAACCGAGTTTTATTGTACCTATGCTTACCCACATTTTTGCAACTTCCCCAATCCCTTCGTCTCCCACCCCAACTCAACAAACCCTTCCCCCTCCCACCTCGCCTCACGTCTCTCGTCGCCTCTCCCACCCACCTCGCCATCGGCTCTCCCTCTCACCCAGCCGTTCGCCTCTTCCTGCCATCCCGCCGTCGGCTTTCCCTCTCTACCTTGCCATCGCCTCTCCCTCCTATCCCGCCGTCGCCTCTTCCTCTCACCCCGCGGTCGCCTCCCTCCCATCCCATCATCGCCTCTCCCTCTCACTCGTCGTCGCCTCTCCCTCTTACCCGCCACCGCCTCTCCTTCACATTCCGTCGTCTCCTCCCCCTTGAATCCCGCCGTCGCCTCCCCTCACATCCCGCCGTCGCCTCCCCCTCACATCCCGCCGTCGCCTCCCCCTTACATCCCGCCGTCGCTTCCCCCCATATCCCGCCTCACCTCCCCCTGGCATCCCGCCGTCGCCTCCCTCCGCATCCCGCCGTCGCCTCCCCCCTCGCATCCTGCCGTCGCCTCCCCCTCACATCGCGCCGTCGCCTCCCCTTCCAATCCCGCCGTCGCCTCCCTCCGCATCCCGCCGTCGCCTCCCCCCTCGCATCCTGCCGTCGCCTCCCCCTCACATCGCGCCGTCGCCTCCCCTTCCAATCCCGCCGTCGCATCTCCTCTCACCGCCGTCGCATCCCCCTCTCATCTCGCCGTCGCCGCTGACGACAGCTGCACGAGCGCGAGCTGGCGGGCGAGCACGAGATGGTTTCTTAGGCGCCGTTATTATGAGGTGCGCTTACCTATCCCGGTCTTTTTCTCCTCCTTTCCCCCTCTAAAATTCGCTCACTTTCTTACATTTTTTGTAGCTTCTGTTTGTCGATTGGTCTCCGTGGGTTGCACTATTTATTAAAGAGGGAGAGAGAGGGGTGGGCGAGGAGCACCAAGAGCGTGTGGGAGGGAGAGGCGGGAGAGAGAGCGCCGTGCGCGCTTGCGCCGGTGGCGTGGGCGCCATGGTCGCTTGCGCCTAAGCTGCTTGTGCTTGGGGCGCTGGCACCGTGGGCGCTTGCGCTTAGGGCATGTGTGTGTGTGAGTGGCGGCAAGAGTGAGTGCGATTGTGTGCGACAGGGTGGGTGCGGGTGTGAATCTTGGTGCGAGTGCGGGTGTGAGTTCGAGAGTGAGAGGCGCGCATGCACTTGAAGGTGAGCGCGGTTGTGAACGGGGCGAGTGCGAACCTCATTGAGAGAGCAAGTGCGAGCGTGAATGCGCGAGTGGGTGTGAAAGCAAATGTGAGAGGTGTAAGGGGGACGGCGAGTTCGAAAGTGAGTATGCGTGTGAATGTGAGGTTGAGTGCAAGGGTGCGGGTGTGAGTGTAAAAGGGGGTGAGAAAGTGCATTCGAGTTTGTGTGCTAGGTTGAGCACGAGGATGAGTGCACGTGTTTGTGTGTGTTTACTGTGCATGTCGAAGAAGAGTTGAAGGTGAAAAGCGAGTGAGAGAGTGAGTGCAGGGGTGAGAACAATCGCGGGTATGATTGGGGGTGTCCGTGCGAGAGTGAGGCGGGGGTGAGTGTGAAGGTGCGTGCGATGTCATCTGCGAGAGCAAGTGGGAGAGTGAGCGTGAATGTGAATGCGAGGGCGAATCCGAACGTGAGTGCGGGTGTGATGGCGAGGGCGAATGCGAGCGTGAGTGCGTTTGTGAGTGCAACGGCAAGTGCAAGCGTGAGTGTGGGTGTGAGTGCGAGGGAAAATGTGAGCGAGAGTGCGGGTGTGAGTGAGTGCGCCTTCAGTTTGAGGGTGCACGCGACTCTGTGTGCATGTGTGTGTGGGGGTGTTCGAGTGAGCGCGAGCCCGAGGGTGAGTGCGAGGGTTTGTGTGTTTTCAGTGAGTGTGTCTAAGAACTGTTGAATGTATTTGGGTGTCGGTGAGTTGCGGCAAGAGTGAGTGCGAGCGTGTGCAAGAGGGTGAGTGCGGGTTTGAATCCAGGTGTGAGAACGGGTGTGGTGCGAGAGAGAGTGCGCGCATGCACTTGAGGGTGTGTGCGAGGGTGCTTGCAAGTGTGTGTATGAGGGTGAATGCGAGAACAAGTGCGAGTGTGAGTGCAAAAGTGATTGCGATTATGAGTGTGAGAGCAATATGAGTTCGGTTAGGCCCCGTCCTCACTTGGGCGGAGGTTACAGCCGACCTGCAGCAGTGGGCAAGCTGGTTGACGAAGTCGGTCGACCTGCACGGGGGCCACAGCGAGGGCGCCGATTTTGGGGCGCCGACCTGGGGTGGTCGACGACTCGGCGAAGTCAGCGGCCCGGTCCCGAAGTGGTCGACGAGGAGACGCCGACCAGGGAGGACGCCGACCAGCCGGCACCGACCTAATTGCCCGGTCGATCGTGTTACCCGGGCGACGGAGCTTCTGCAGAGGTGTGCGATGGTCGCCGGGGGAGCTTCTGCGAGACCGACCTCGGAGGTGGTATCCCGAGGTCGACGTGGCTGGTGGGCGCAGTCGCTGGCGTGGACTCTGCCTGGCGTCTGCGCTGTGCTCGTGACAGGGCGCGGAGCACCAATCAGCCACGCGCACCTGCGAAGTAGGTGCACCGTTGTCCTGCGGGTGCAACGCTGTGCACCCGACTTCCTGCAGCGTTGGCGCACCGCGGAATTGCAACGTTGGCACGCGGTCGACCAGGCTGCGCTGGCAATCGTCCAGCATGCTTGCTAGCTCTGATGTAGTCAGTGTTGCCAATGTTGTTGCTATCATTGTTGTGAACTTTTGCTAGTGAAACTCTTGCCAAATTTCCCCGTGAACCAGCAAGTAGTGAGAGCACAAGGAAACGCCTAAGGAACAAACGCAAAAATCACTCCTACCCCGTGCCTAGCCCGTAGTCTAGCTCCCGTTGACAGAGTTATCTCCGCAAAATGCGAGAACAAGTGCGAGCGTGAGTGCAAGAGTGATTGCGATTATTAGTGTGAGAGCAATATGAGTGTGAGAGTGAGGGCGAGCGAGGGTGAGTATGAGTGCTTGAGTGAGTGGGTGAGTGTGAGTGCGAGTGTGTGTGCGAGGGTGAGAAAGAGGGTGAGTGTGAGCTTGAAGGCGAGCTTGAGAGCGAGCGAGCGTGAGCGCGAGGGATAGTGCAAGGATGAGTGTGAGGTTGTTCAGAGGGTGAGTTCAAGTGTAAGTGCGAGTGTGAGTGTGTGTGTGTGAGTGTGAGGTTGAGTGTGATGGTGCAGGTGCGATTGCAATGGTAGTGTGAAGGTGAGTGCAAGTACGATTGCAAGCGTGAATGCGTGCGTAAAGTTGGTGTGAGGGTGGGAGTGAGTGAGTGCTAAAGTGAGTGTGAGGGTGGGTGTGAGGTTGAGTGTGAGAGTGAATGTGAGGGTGAGTGCAAGGATGAGTGCAAGGGGGAGTTTGAGGGTGCGTGTGCGTGCATGTGTAATTTTCTATGTGAGTGTGAGAGTGAGTGCGAACATGAGTGCAAGGGTGAGTGCTAGGGTTTGAGTGTGTGTTTCTATCAGTTTGTGTGTGCGTGAGCTGTTGGGAAAGTGAGTGCGAGAGTGAGTGTGGCTAGCCTGTGAGGGTTATTCATCAACAATGTCTATAGCGCTACATTTGCTTGTGCAATCTTGTGAGTTGCAGTCTCTGATTTTGTTTTCTTGTTCTTTGCTTTTGTTTTTGTTTGTGCAGGAAGTGAGTTACATTCGTTGTTTCTTCTTTCCTGTGCAGGGAGTTCAAGCTGCAGCCATTGTTTCTTGCAGAGAAAAGGGAGTGGGGAAGGGAGATGAGGGAGGGAAGGAGGGAGGGAGTGAGGGGAATGGGGGACAGACTAGCAATAATCTATGCATGGCTAAACTTCATTCTATTCGCTGCATGCTTAATAGCTGTATGTTTGTGCATTTGTTTGTGTGTGTGTGTGTGTGTGTGTGTGTGTGTGTGTGTGTGTGTGTGTGTGTGTGTGTGTGTGTGTGTGTGTGTGTGTGTGTGTGTGTGTGTGTGCATGTGTGTGTGTGTGTGTGTGTGTGCGTGCGCGTGTGTGTGTGTGTGTGTGTGTGTATGTGTGTGTGTGTGTGTATGTGTGTGTGTGTGTGTGTGTGTGTGTGTGTGTGTGTATGTGTGTGTGTGTATGTGTGTGTGTGTGTGTGAGCCTGTATGTGTGTGTATGTGTGTGCGTGTGCGCGCATGTGTGTGTATGTACATGTGTATACCTGTGTTTGTGTTTGCTTCAAAGTGTGGTACTAAGTGCCTCGTGTATGCAACTGGGGTTGTGATCGTCGGTGGGGCAGCTTTGCTCGCCTCTTCCGTACCATATCAATCTTAGTTGCAGCATTGATGCATTTAGTATGCGCTTCGTAGCATTTGCAATTGTTGTCATCCGTTTGTCTTAGTTCTCGTGCTATCGTTTGTGCTTGTTTTGAGGTGTGGTGCTAAGTGCTTCATGTTTGCAACTGTGGTTGTGATCGTCGGTGGGGCAGCTTTGCTCGCCTCTTCCGTACCATATCAATCTCAGTTGCAGCATTGACGCATTTAGTATTCGGCTTGATACGATTTCCAATGTGTTTTTTTTGTGTACGTTTGTGTGTGTGGTCATATCTGCATATGTACGTATTTTTTAGTGATAAAAGTGTGGTCCTTGGTGTGTTTTTTTAGTGTTGTCATTTGTGCGGAGTGACCGTTTCAATTGTTCCATTCGCCGTACTTATCGACGATTATGGAATGATTGAATACATTTGGAAATCACTTTTTGTGGAACTTACGTGAACAGTGGTTTTTTCCAATTTTGATGGGGAAGAGTCACTGTTCGCGTCAGTTCCTCGAAAAGTGAAACCAAATGTATAAGGTTGCTACGCAACCCAACAAAAATTTGCTCAGTGGCTAGTTTGGTTGTCATTTGCACTGAACAAAACCTCTTTCAACCTTAAAGCTGTCACTCTCTCCTAAACCAAAATCAAGGCCCAGCTCGGAAGGCATTATGGCCATTATCGCCATTATGGGCATTTTTAACGGGCCCCCAAAAAATGGCCCCAATAAACAGATGCGAAAACAGACTGTAGCTGCAGTGAAACTTCGGAAAAATGGGCCCGAGTGTTCGGTTGGCATTAAGGCGTTGTTCTGTAGGCGTTAAATTTCGAAAATCTGGGTCCGCAGAATCTTCGCCGATAAGTGGGTTTCTGCCTATCAAGGTTTGGTGATAAGCGAAGTCCTGCCAAACCTGTTCGCGCCAAATTTAACGCTTCTGCCAGCAGAACAACACTTTAGGGGCGCAAAATTTTAAACATTTGCTGGTTCGAAGATGTTGCTTCACCGGGCAAATGGACGCACAACTAGTGCGGTGCTGATTCTACCTCGGAGGCTAGCATCAGCCTCCGCACAAGTTATGCGGGGCAGCAACATCCGTGCAACGCAACCATCATGAATGCGCCTGGAAAAAAACGGAAGGCTAACGCGGTCATATTGGTGCGGAACCCTAAACGTCTGCAGAACAACGCCTAAATGGGCCAAGATTAGAAGCCCGTATGCAGCTGCGCTGACGGAGCGCAGAATCACTATACTGGCAGCCCGGGCAGCCCTGCAAACCAGCGGTGGACGTCGAAAAAAATCGGGCAAGGGAAACTGTGCGCTCGATGTGTTAGTGATGGTGTGTTGGTGATGTCAGAATGTGATGGTTGTCTAGCCTGCAGTGGGGTACTCTATAGCGAGTACAGCCCTTCTAGGGTTTGCTATATGTATCCCTATGCTTGTTAGTGAAAACCCTTCTTGCCTATTTTCTCGATTGTGCCTAGTATTTCGACATGCTATCAGAGCAGGTCGACCCTCTTGGGTCGATCCTGTGGGTGGTCCCACCCGTTAGCTTCCGCTGCTACTCTGTGTGTCGCGCGCCCCGTGGTGCGCGACGGATTTTTTCTTCCCGCCGTGCGCCCCGAGGCGCGCGGCGGTTTTCCCCCGTCGAAGCGCCCCCCGTCGCCCGTCGAAGCGCCCCTGGGCCCCGCGCGGGCCGGGCGCGGCCCGTACGACCTGCGCCAGGCCCGCGCGCGGCCCGTACGGGCTGCGCCAGGCCCGCGCGCGGCCCGGGCAGCCTGCCCCGGAGCCGCGCGCCGTTCCCCGAGCTGCTGCCCGCTGTGTCCCCGCTGCTGCCCGCGCTGTCAGAATGTTATTCTCTAGCCTGTAGTGGGGTGCTCTGTAGCGAGTACAACCCATCTAGGGTTTGCTATATGTATCCTCATTGCTGCTAGTGAAAACCCTCTTCTTTTGCCTAAACTGTCTCTTGCCTAGCTAGGACTCTCCTAGCTATGGCTCCTAACACTACATACTATTTTGACATGGTATCAGAGCTTAACGTTCCTGGCCTGTGGGCCCACTTCACTGCTTCCGCTGCTACTGCTACTCCCTGTCCGCCGCGCGCCCCGTGGTGCGCGGCGTCGAAATTAGGGTTTTCAGCCCGCCGTGCGCCCCGAGGCGCGCGGCGGTTTTCTGCCCGCCGTGCGCCCCGAGGCGCGCGGCGGGTTTCTGCCCCGTCACTCGGCGCGTCGCCCCCGGGAGGTGCTGTGACGGGCGACGGGGACCCGCGCGTCGCCCCCCGTCGCCCGTCGTGGCCTGCGCGCGGCCCGTACAGCCGGCGCGCGGCCCGTACGGGCTGCGCCAGGCCCGCGCGCGGCCCGTACGGGCTGCGCCAGGCCCGCGCGCGGCCCGTACGGGCTGCGCCAGGCCCGCGCGCGGCTCGGACCGCCTGCGCGCGGTTCGGGAGGCTGTGCCAGGCCCGTGGGCGGCCCGTTCTTCGCTGCCCCTGTCCTCCCCGCTGTCCCCCGTGCTTCTGAAGGCGCCCCACCCCTCCTTCTGCCCGTTCTCCTGGATTAGGGTTTGGGGGTGGGGGGTATGGGGGTGCAGCTTCTGAGTGCCGTTCCCTGCTCCTCCTCCTCCTCCGTCTCCCTGTGCTGCAGCTGCCGCTGAGGGGGGGTGGACCTGTTGGAGCCGACGGAGTGGTACTAAGGGGGGGGTGAAAGGGGAGTGGAGCTAGCGGTGTAGCAGCGGGTGTGTGTTAGGGGGAGTGGGATAGTTTGGGGAGGTTGAAGGGGGTGGCCGCCGTCAAGCCAGCAGCTCCAGTCGCCCGTGAGACCGTTGCGCCAGTCGCCCGTGAGCCCGTTGCGCCAGTCGCCCGTGAGCCCGTTGCTCCAGTCGCCCGTGAGTCCGTTGCTCGTCTGCCGCTACTTTTAGCCGCGGAGCCAGTTACTCCAGTAGCCCGTGTGCCAGTTGCTCCAGTTGCCAGTGTGCCAGTTGCTCCAGTTGCCCGTGTGCCAGTTGCTCCAGTTGCGCCGTGTGCCAGCAGCTTCAGCTTCAGCTGCCGCCCACTACCTCCTCTCCTCTCATAGTCTCTTTCCTCCTCCTCACTTGCCCGTTGTGACTACCACTAGCTTTGCTCATAATTGTGAACTTTAAACTATTGCTTCTTGAACTTGTGCTCAGAATGTGTGGTGACATTGTGATCCACCCTGAGCTTGTACTGCTTTGCTTGCTCTGTTGATTACATCCCACTTTGGCTATGGGGGTGTGTCAGAATGTTATTCTCTAGCCTGTAGTGGGGTGCTCTGTAGCGAGTACAACCCATCTAGGGTTTGCTATATGTATCCTCATTGCTGCTAGTGAAAACCCTCTTCTTTTGCCTAAACTGTCTCTTGCCTAGCTAGGACTCTCTTAGCTATGGCTCCTAACTCTACATACTATTTTGACACGCGCTTCTACCTGTATTAGGGTTTGGGGTGGCGAGTGTGGGGGTGGCAAGTATGGGGGTGACGAGTGGGTGAGTGCGCCATCCCCTGCTCCTCCTCCTCCTCCGTCTCCCACTGCTGCAGCTGCCGCTCAGGGGGGTGGATGTGTTGGAGCCGTCAGGAGGGGGGTGGCGTGTGAGCGTTGCTAGTGGTTCAACAGGGGGTGTGTGATAGGGGTGGGGGACAGTTGGGGGATCTTGACAGGAGGTAGCCGGTGTGACGTCTGCAGCGCCAGTAGCCCGGGGGTTGAGTACTCCAGTAGCTCAGCGAGCCTGCTGCGCCAGTCGCCCGTGGGTCCGTTGCTCCTGCAGCTTAGTGCGGAGCCAGTTACTCCTGTAGTCCGGAGGTTGAGTGCTCCGGTAGCCACTGTGCGCGCCGTTCCTGTTGCCCGAGTGTCTGTCGCCGTGTAGTCCGGGGCTCTGCGCCTGGTAGCGACAGTGCTGCGCGCTTCTGTTGCGCGTGTGTCTGCAGCTTCAATCGTTGCCTCCCATCTTCTTGCTCCCACAGTTTCTCCTCCTCACTTGCCCTCTGTGATAGCCTCTAGCTTTGCTTGTATTTGTGAACCTACTGCTCTGTCTGCTTGTTGTGTTGATTGTACCCCACTTTGACTATGGGGGTGTGTCAGAATGTGATGGTTGTCTAGCCTGCAGTGGGGTACTCTATAGCGAGTACAGCCCTTCTAGGGTTTGCTATATGTATCCCTATGCTTGTTAGTGAAAACTCTTCTTGCCTGTTTTCTCGATTATGCCTAGTATTTATTTCGACAGGTGATGTGTGATTTTCCAGCAGGCACGTAGTGGGGTGAGAAAGACCGGGAGTTGTTTTTTTTTTTTTTCAGTGCAAGGTGTGATTGCCCCGAATCAATGATCCCCCGCATGGTGCGGGACCTCGAGGCCGCATGGTGCGGGACCTCGAGGCCGCATGGTACGACGGATGAGAAAATGGCCAGTTTGCCTAAGAAATAGGGTTCGATGAAGGTTCCTCGGGTGGAAAATGCCAGGGGTGTTCGATTGGCATTCCATTATTGTCTGGTTCGGCGATGACCCGATTATATCGAGCCTAGATAACCTTTCACGCGCTTATCAAAGAAGGTTCCAGGGTGGTCGGTTTACTGTAGCCCCAAACGGGGAAACCGTTTTTTTAATGCCTGCCGAACTGGACCCAAACGAAAGCAATTTCCCTGGGCGGTGTTCTGTTGCCGCACCACTTGATGCGGGGGCGGACAGGACAGCACCACATCACATGGTGCGGCATCAGGCTTCCGCGAAATTTATATCTGCCCCGAACCACTTGATGCGGTCCTTGGATCCCCCCTCTGAGAGTGAACCAGGGCTGCACCAGTCCCGCACCCATTTTGCCTGGGGGTGGGGGATAGCTTTTGCTGCAGTGGTTCAGCGTTCTTTTGGGTACAGGCGGGCGGACTGCACTGCACAGCACCCGTCAGGTTCGGGAAGAGGTTCAGTTTGCCGAGCCTGGAATCAAGGAAGACGCCCTCTAAGAAGAAGCACGTAGGATCTCCAGTAGAACCCCAGAAGAAGCATCAATTTGGTGCTGTGCAGGGGAGTCCGCACCAAGTGGTGCGGCAATATGCCACCATATGCCACCATATGCCATCCATCTGGCGCTTTGTGCGGAAGTGCCTGCGTCTGCAGAAACAAGCTCGATCTCTCACCGCACCTCTGCTTCCTGCCGCGCCTTGCCAAACAGACTCCTCTTCGCCAAAACCAAGCTTCAGTCGCCACGCTCGCCGCCATCCGCGATTAAGCCACGCGACGAACGATTAAGCCACGCGACGAACGATTAAGCCACGCGACGAACGATTAAGCCACGCGACGAGCGATTGAGCCACGCGACTAGCGATTAAGCCACGCGACGAGCGATTAAGCCACGCGTATTAAGCCACGCGACGAGCGATTAAGCCACGCGACCAGCGATTTTCCCACTAGCTGCTTCCCTCCCTGCTTTTCGTGTCATGGAAAAAGCCAATCATTCTACGCCACTTGGCGTGGATCAACACCACCTCCACACGAACCGTGTAACCATCCGCGAACGGCTTCGCGAATGGAAGAATCGCGTCAAGTGTCGCGCGCAGGGGTTGTACGCGTCGGGTTACCACAGCAGTTACGGATCTGCTCCCTACGGCTCGCTTCAAGCGTCCGTCGCGGCGGGCGGCGGCCGCAAGGCGGCGATGGCGACGGCGGCGGCTGCGGCGACCTCGTCGCTGGCGGCGGTGCGCGTGTTTAAGGGAAACAGCGTGCTCGCGCAATTCAAGGCGCGAATCACGGCGCGATTTGCGGAGGGAACCACAGGGCTTGTGACTGATGCGGCGGATGGGCAAGGAGCCGCAGGAGCAGAGGCGGTGAGAGCAAGAGGGATAGAGGCGACGGGAGAGATCGGGGAGAGAGGCGAGGCGGAGGGGGTGAGCGGGGCACATGGGGCAGATGAGGGCAGGCTAGCCGTGGTGGTGGGGGGTATAGGGGCGGGCGGGGAGCAGCAGAGCGCGGCAGTGCGCATGGCGCAGACGGTGCTGCTGCCCGCCCTGGGCGCCGTGTCACACGCCTTCATGCACGGTCTCAACCGCACTGAGGTGCGCTCAACCGCACTCAATTGCACCAAGGCGGGTTGATGTGTGTGCCTGGCGCCTTGTGCTTTGCTGCTGGCCTTGCGCCCTCCCACCATCCATGGTGCACCAATATTGCATGCTAACTCGCGTCACCAATATCGCATGCTAACTCGCGTCACCAATATCGCATGCTAACTCGCGTCACCAATATCGCATGCTAACTCGCGTCACTAATATCGCATGCTAACTCGCGTCACCAATATCGCATGCTAACTCGCGTCACCAATATAGCATGCTAACTCGCGTCACCAATATCGCATGCTAACTCGCGTCACCAGTATCGCATGCTAACTCGCGTCACCAGTATCGCATGCTAACTCGCGTCACCAATATCGCATGCTAACTCGCGTCACCAATATCGCATGCTAACTCGCGTCACCAATATAGCATGCTAACTCGCGTCACCAATATCGCATGCTAACTCGCGTCACCAATATCGCATGCTAACTCGCGTCACCAATATCGCATGCTAACTCGCGTCACCAATATAGCATGCTAACTCGCGTCACCAATATCGCATGCTAACTCGCGTCACCAATATCGCATGCTAACTCGCGTCACCAATATCGCATGCTAACTCGCGTCACCAATATCGCATGCTAACTCGCGTCACCAATATCGCATGCTAACTCGCGTCACCAATATCGCATGCTAACTCGCGTCACCAATATCGCATGCTAACTCGCGTCACCAATATAGCATGCTAACTCGCGTCACCAATATCGCATGCTAACTCGCGTCACCAATATCGCATGCTAACTCGCGTCACCAATATAGCATTCTAACTCGCGTCACAGCTTCTATTTGGTCTGTACTCGACAGTTTGGTCGCATGTCGACTGTTGTGCTCGTTGCAATATTTTTTATTGCAGACCTATTTCCCCCCTCCACTCCCTCTCTGCCTCGCTGTTCCACATCCACTCCCCCACGCGCGCATCCGCCCCCCACGCCCGTCTGCCCATCCTCCTGTGCTCCGCCCATCCACCCCCCTCCCGCCAACCCCTTCACCAGGTGATAGACGCGCACAAGCTCACCAACGCCATCGCCCACCGCCCCCCCGGCACGCCCCTCCTCACGGTACCCCCTGCTGCCCCCCCTCCCCCGTGTGTGCGCTGCTGCACCCCCCCTGTTGCTGCTGCACCCCCCCTGTGGCTGCTGCACCCCCCCTGTGGCTGCTGCACCCCCCCTGTGGCTGCTGCACCCCCCCTGTGGCTGCTGCAACCCCCCTGTGGCTGCTGCACCCCCCCTGTGGCTGCTGCACCCCCAACCCGTCCCCACCTTTGTGTGCGCTGCCGTTTGCCTCCTTGTCACACCCCTTCCACCCTCCCATCCCTCTCCGTCCCGCATCAGCCGCTTTCCACCACCTGCCCACTCCCTGCCACCTGCCCACCCCTCTCCCCCCCCCCCCCACACGCCCCACCTGCTCTTCCCCCCACCCCACCTGCCACCTCATCAATCCACCCACCCGTGCCGCTTATTTCGACTGCCCCTGATACCAAATAGAACGTGTCACCCCCTTCCCTTCCCTGCCCCGACCACCAGGTGTGCATTCATGTGGCGGCGCTGTACGCTCCTCCTCTAGTCATGGCAGCAGTCGTGCCGCCCTCCTTCATGCTCTCCCCTTTCTCCACACCCCGCCACGTTTCACACCCTCCCCTTCCCACTGTCTGTCTGTCAGCTGGCCAATCACATGGCAGCGATGAACGACCCTCTAATCATGGCAGCAGTCGTACCCCCCTCTCTCATGCTCGCCCTTCCCTATTTTTCCATTACCCACTACCTTTCATTTCGTTCCTCTCCCCCACCACCAGGTGGCCAATCACGTGGCAGCAATGGACGACCCGCTGGTCATGGCGGCGGTGGTGCCGCCAGCCCTCATGCTCTCCCAACCCTCCGCCCTCCGCTGGACCCTCTGTGCCACCGACCGCTGCTTCTCCTCGCCCCTCCTCTCTGCCTTCTTCACCTCGCTCCGTGCTTTACCAGTCGAGCGGGGAGGGGGCTTGCAGCAGCCGGTGAGTGGGTGTGTGTGCGAGGGGAGGAAATCGGGGGGAGGTGGGGTTTGGTGGGGTTTGGTGGGGTTGCAGCGAGCCATGAGCCCTTGGCCCCTGCTCTCTCCTCTGGATGCTCGGCATGAGGGAAGCAGCGCCTGGACGAGGGTGGGTGCAGCACATTCTACAGTCTTCTCACAACTCTCTTTCTCCACCGCTCCCTACCCCTCCACCAACCCAAACTTCCTACAGGGCATGGTAGCAGCGGCGCAGCGCCTGGGTAAGGGCGGGTGGGTGCACATTTAAGAGCCAGCTCAGAGCTATGTGTCTCTATCGCTCTCTCCCCCTCCACCACCCCAACCCCCCTCAGGGCATGGTGGCAGCAGCGCAGCGGCTGGGCGAGGGCGGGTGGGTGCACATCTTCCCCGAGGGCACTCGCTCGCTGGATGGCGGCCGCACTGTTGGCCCCATGCGCAGAGGCGTGGCGTGGTGAGGAGGGAGGGGGACGTTTGAGAGGGGTGAAGCGGGGTGGGAGGGGGGCTGGGCTCTGGGGGAGGGTGGAAGGGCGAGGGTGGGGTGGGGCTGGTGGGATGGAATAAGGGCGGATGGTGCATGTGGAATGGTGCATGTGGGATGGTGCATGTGCGATGGTGCATGTGCGATGGTGCATGTGCGATGGTGCATGTGCAATGGTGCATGTGCAATGGTGCATGTGCAATGGTGCATGTGCGATGGTGCATGTGGTGGGTTGGTTGATGGATGTGGGATGTGTATGGTGCCCAGCCAGGTGACAGTGCATTCAACGTTTTATGCTCGCAGGCCTTCAATCATTTCTCACGTCTTGCTGCTGCTGCTGCGGCTCAGCTTCCTCGCTCTCCACACATGCCCCCCACACATGCCCCCCACACATGCCCCCCTCACATGCCCCCCTCACATGCCCCCCTCACATGCCCCCCTCACATGCCCCCCTCACATGCCCCCCTCACATGCCCCCCTCACATGCCCCCCTCTCATCACCCCCTCGAATCACCCCCTCGAATCACCCCCTCGAATCACCCCCTCGAATCACCCCCTCGAATCACCCCCTCGAATCACCCCCTCGAATCACCCCCTCGAATCACCCCCTCGAATCACCCCCTCGAATCACCCCCTCGAATCACCCCCTCGAATCACCCCCTCGAATCATTTCCCCCAATACCATCCCACGCATTGGCCCACCTTGACCACCGCGTCCCCCCATGATGCGCTGAGGCTGGACATGCAGTGCCGTCACACAACCACCCATCAACCCCAAACCCCCCCTCCCCCCTCCCCCCCGCCCATGACACAACCACCCATCAACCCCTCTCTACCCCATCACACAACCCATTGTGCCCCCAGGGCTGGCTTGTGACCGCATCCCACCATCGCTATGACCGCCTCCCACCATCGCTATGACCGCATCCCACCATCGCTATGACCGCATCCCACCGTCGCTATGACTGCATCCCACCGTCGCTATGACCGCATCCCACCGTCGCTATGACCGCCTCTCTCCCCCCATGCTTCCCGCCAGGCTGGCAGCGCAGTGCACTGTGCCGCCCCTCATCATCCCAGTGGTGCATGTCGGCATGCACCGCGTGCAAGCTAGAGGACAAACGCTGCCGGCCGTAGGCCAACGGGTAAAGCCCGCTTCCGCGCCATGCCCACCCATGCTTATCCATACCCAACCATGCCCATCAATACCCATCTATACCCATCCATGCCCATCCATGCACATCACCTTCAGATTCCCTTCCACTTGTCACTACTTCCACTACCACCCCTCATCGTCCCATCTCTCATGCGTTCAGATTGGTTACACCTTCATGTTTCCACCTTCATGTTTCCACCTTCATGTTTCCACCTTCATGTTTCCACCTTCATGTTTCCACCTTCATGTTTCCACCTTCATGTTTCCACCTTCATGTTTCCACCTTCATGTTTCCACCTTCATGTTTCCACCTTCATGTTTCCACCTTCATGTTTCCACCTTCATGTTTCCACCTTCATGTTTCCACCTTCATGTTTCCACCTTCATGTTTCCACCTTCATGTTTCCACCTTCATGTTTCCACCTTCATGTTTCCACCTTCATGTTTCCACCTTCATGTTTCCACCTTCATGTTTCCACCTTCATGTTTCCACCTTCATGTTTCCACCTTCATGTTTCCACCTTCATGTTTCCACCTTCATGTTTCCACCTTCATGTTTCCACCTTCATGTTTCCACCTTCATGTTTCCACCTTCATGTTTCCACCTTCATGTTTCCACCTTCATGTTTCCACCTTCATGTTTCCACCTTCATGTTTCCACCTTCATGTTTCCACCTTCATGTTTCCACCTTCATGTTTCCACCTTCATGTTTCCACCTTCATGTTTCCACCTTCATGTTTCCACCTTCATGTTTCCACCTTCATGTTTCCACCTTCATGTTTCCACCTTCATGTTTCCACCTTCATGTTTCCACCTTCATGTTTCCACCTTCATGTTTCCACCTTCATGTTTCCACCTTCATGTTTCCACCTTCATGTTTCCACCTTCATGTTTCCACCTTCATGTTTCCACCTTCATGTTTCCACCTTCATGTTTCCACCTTCATGTTTCCACCTTCATGTTTCCACCTTCATGTTTCCACCTTCATGTTTCCACCTTCATGTTTCCACCTTCATGTTTCCACCTTCATGTTTCCACCTTCATGTTTCCACCTTCATGTTTCCACCTTCATGTTTCCACCTTCATGTTTCCATCTTCCAGCTCTCTAAAGAAAACTGTGCGTCTGACCATTCTCTCCACGCGCACCCTGCACTGATGCTTGGGCGCTCTCTTCTCATCCGGCTTTCCTCTCTTCTCATCTGGCTTTCCTCTCTTCTCATCCGGCTTTCCTCTCTTCTCATCCGGCTTTCCTCTCTTCTCATCCGGCTTTCCTCTCTTCTCATCCGGCTTTCCTCTCTTCTCATCCGGCTTTCCTCTCTTCTCATCCGGCTTTCCTCTCTTCTCATCCGGCTTTCCTCTCTTCTCATTCGGCTTTCCTCTCTTCTCATCCGGCTTTCCTCTCTTCTCATCCGGCTTTCCTCTCTTCTCATCCGGCTTTCCTCTCTTCTCATCCGGCTTTCCTCTCTTCTCATCCGGCTTTCCTCTCTTCTCATCCGGCTTTCCTCTCTTCTCATCCGGCTTTCCTCTCTTCTCATCCGGCTTTCCTCTCTTCTCATCCGGCTTTCCTCTCTTCTCATCCGGCTTTCCTCTCTTCTCATCCGGCTTTCCTCTCTTCTCATCCGGCTTTCCTCTCTTCTCATCCGGCTTTCCTCTCTTCTCATCCGGCTTTCCTCTCTTCTCATCCGGCTTTCCTCTCTTCTCATCCGGCTTTCCTCTCTTCTCATCCGGCTTTCCTCTCTTCTCATCCGGCTTTCCTCTCTTCTCATCCGGCTTTCCTCTCTTCTCATCCGGCTTTCCTCTCTTCTCATCCGGCTTTCCTCTCTTCTCATCCGGCTTTCCTCTCTTCTCATCCGGCTTTCCTCTCTTCTCATTCGGCTTTCCTCTCTTCTCATTCGGCTTTCCTCTCTTCTCATCCGGCTTTCCTCTCTTCTCATCCGGCTTTCCTCTCTTCTCATCCGGCTTTCCTCTCTTCTTATCCGGCTTTCCTCTCTTCTCATTCGGCTTTCCTCTCTTCTCATTCGGCTTTCCTCTCTTCTCATCCGGCTTTCCTCTCTTCTCATCCGGCTTTCCTCTCTTCTCATCCGGTTTTCCTCTCTTCTCATCCGGCTTTCCTCTCTTCTCATCCGGCTTTCCTCTCTTCTCATTCGGCTTTCCTCTCTTCTCATCCGGCTTTCCTCTCTTCTCATCCGGCTTTCCTCTCTTCTCATCCGGCTTTCCTCTCTTCTCATCCGGCTTTCCTCTCTTCTCATCCGGCTTTCCTCTCTTCTCATCCGGCTTTCCTCTCTTCTCATCCGGCTTTCCTCTCACACCTGCCCTGCCTGCCCCACCGGCTGCCGCACCTGCCCTCCTTGCCCTCCCCGCTTCCGCCCTGCCCGCCACCACTACTCCCCTCCCACCCATCCCTGCGCTTCCCCCTCGCCTGTCCTCCCTTCCCCACCCTGCGCGCATCTCGCAGGTGGCAGTGATGGTGGGAGATCCCATTGACATCTCTGACCTGCTGCACGCGCACCCACACCAGCAGTACCAATAGCATCATCCTCCCCTCCCCTCCCCTCCCCTCCCCTCCCCTCCCCTCCCGTCCCCTCCCGTCCTCTCCCGTCCCTTCCGTCCCATCCCCTTCCGTCCCCTCCCATCCCCTCCCCTCCCCTCCCGTCCCCTCCGGTCCCCTCCCCTCCCCTCCCCTCCCCTCCCCTCCCCTCCCCTCCCCTCCCCTCCCCTCCCCTCCCCTCCCCTCCCCTCCCCTCCCCTCCCCTCCCCTCCCCTCCCCTCCCCTCCCCTCCCCTCCCCTCCCCTCCCCTCCCCTCCCCTCCCCTCCCCTCCCCTCCCCTCCCCTCCCCTCCCCTCCCCTCCCCTCCCCTCCCCTCCCCTCCCCTCCCCTCCCGTCCCCTCCATTCCCTCCTCTGCCTTCTTGCTCTGCGTTCGCATCCCACAGGTGGCAGTGATGGTGGGAGATCCCATCGACATTTCTGACCTGCTGCACGCGCACCGCCACCAGCAGCAGAATCAGCAGCACCAGCAGCGCCAGCACCAAAGCCAGCATGCGCAGCACACCATCACCCGCACCAGCAGCAGCAGCAGCAGCAGCAGCAGCAGCAGCAGCAGCAGCAGCAGCAGCAGCAGCAGCAGCAGCAGCAGCAGCAGCAGCACCCCTACCGACCATCAAACCGCCCATCCGCCGGCCTTCCCAGCACCATGTCCCCCTCCCCCCTCCGCGCTGCTGGACGCCATCAGTGCGCGCATAGGGGCGCACCTGCAGCGCCTGCACTCCCACCTGCTGGCGCATGAGCAGGCGTCTCTTGAGGGGCGTGTGGCAGGTTTAGAGGGGAGAGTGCTGGGCATGGAGGGGCCTGTGCCTGATGGTGAGATAGCAGCACCAATGGGTGGGGCAGGGGCAGCAGTGACAGTGGGTGGTGGGAACGATGGAGGGGGTGCTAGGGATCGTGGCGGTGACGTCTACGCGGTTTCCACTCAAACTGTTGTTGAGAGCAGAGTGGCGGGCGCTGGGCTTGAGTGGAGTGAGTCACATCACCCCCACTGGAAACTACACCCCATTGACAGTCGCGTTTCACATTGGCCCTTCCCTCTCACTACCCATCCCCTCAGCTGCTTGGAGGATCACAGATGGCACTCCCTTGCACTCGCCTCCCACATGGCTGATGCTTCACCCTCTGGTGTCAGCAGCAGCATCAGCAGCAGCAGCAGCAGGCACGGTGCAGCTGGTCTGTTGCACTCCCAGTGGGCAAAAGCAGCAGCAGCTGCGGCAGTGGCAGTGGCGAGGCAGCAGGAGGCGGAGAGGGTGGCGCTGATGTTTGGGTTGGCTGCCCGCTGTGCCGTGGGTGGAAGTCAGTGGCGACGCCTTGATAAGGCCATCAGCTGATCTGCTCGTGGCTTCAGTGGGAGCACAAGCAGCATGAGCAGTTGCAGCAGGAGTAGTAGCAGGAAGCAATGTTTGGCTCTACTTCTGGCTGTGCTGTGGGTGGGCATCAATGTACACACGCAAAGATGGCATGTTGCCATGGGTCGCACCTCTCGTGCCCCACACGGCACTGTGCATGCCCTGAGCGTGCTGCACACGTGTACTGAGTGAATGCACTTGCATGGAACAGTCATCGTGACCTCAAGAAACTGCTGTCCACCAAGGATACGACTGGCGGGTACCGGTAAGCTTACCCATGCATGATTCCTGCTCTACAGCTGTGCTTACTGATACCGGTAGCTAGGGATACTTGGGTCGGATCCAGGCAGATCAGTGTGAGCTGCTCTGCTCTGGTCTGCTCTGATCTACTACCGGCACATGGCGAGCAGAGCAGTGGAGTGCAGTGGAGTGTGCCTTGCCTCTGCTGGCACCATGACATTGCATAGCAGCCAACTTTTGAACTTTTTAACCTGTTGTCGATCCTCACATGTACTGCTCACAAGCACTCTTGGCGGGAGATGATGCGGTGCACAAGGCAGTCACTTACGGTACATGTACCGGTATCGTACCACAGTCGTGGGTTACCGTGCAACAGACCAGTGTGTGCACATAGCGGACTTGTCCACAATGCAGTACCGGTACACCAGGGGAAAAGCGAGGCTGCTGCAGAGTATCGTAACTCTGGTGCAAAGATGCAAGGCAGCTTGGATGAGCGAACCCCCTTGCATGGCACAAAAACATGGGGACAGACGGGTCCCCTGCAAAAAAAAGGCAGGCAAGTCCCAAGCACAAAAACATGGCAGGCAAGTCCCAAGCACAAAAACATGGCAGGCAAGTCCCAAGCACAAAAACATGGCAGGCAAGTCCCAAGCACAAAAACATGGCAGGCAAGTCCCAAGCACATAAAATAGCTTTATTACAGAACCAAACAGAACATTACACCAGGAGGAAAAGGAGTACCGAAAAGATACGGTATGTGAAGCAGATCTGGTGCAAGCAAACAGTGGTGGTGCCAGGTAGGTAGCCTCGCCTGCATGGGCGAAATGAAATGCCCTTGTAGGGCACAAAAAGACGGCGCAGCGCAGCGCGTCATTACACTAGGAGGAGCAACTCCGGCGCGAGCACGCAATGGTGGTGGTGGTGGTGGTGGTGGTGGTGGTGGTGGTGGTGGTGGTGGTGGTGGTGGTGGTGGTGGTGGTGGTGGTGGTGGTGGTGGTGGTGGTGGTGGTGGTGGTGGTGGTGGTGGTGGTGGTGGTGGTGGTGGTGGTGCCAGGTAGCCTGGACAAGTGAATGCCCTTGCACGGCACAAGAACAGGCAACTGGCACCACCATTCGTAAGTACCTAGTGTTAGTGTGTCCAGGTGAAACCACTCGAGCCGAGGGTTAAAAGGCACGTGTGCTGAGTGATGATGTATGCGCCAACAGCCAGTCAGGAGCAAGAGCCATTTGATGGCCAAGGTGCATGAAGCCCCACTTGACCAGCAGGGAAAAAAAACCCAGGTGACTGGGCCGCCGGCATGCAGAATCTTCCTCCGTCTACCCAACCCCCCTCAGCACGTCTTTTGAGTCAACTGAAAATCCTTATGACTGGCTGGCATGGCAGCATGCACACCCCCCCTTTCCTCCTCTCCTCCCTTCACCCCCCTCCTCCCAGCACGTCCACCGCACATGACCCCTTTGGCTGGTCAGCTGCAGTGCAGGCTTTGTAGCTGACCTGTGCTGAGCTGTCTGCAACTGCGCCAACTCTCTCTTCTCTGTTACTGTCTATCGCGCACGGAGAACTGAAGCTCCTCTGTGGGAGCCTTTCCCTGCGCGTCTGCCCACGACACGCTGCGAGGCAAAGCCAGAGGTTGCCCCGCCCTGCCTTGCTGATAGTGCGGGCTGGTGCACAGGGCAGGGCGAAGAAAACCGGGCCAACTGGGGGCACTAGGAAGGGGGCCTCTTGGGGTGGTAGGCTCGTGAGTGGAGTGAGAGGGCAGGCGGGAGAGGGCAGGGGAGGCAGGTTGAGAGAAAGGCGATGAGAGTGGGCGCAGAGGGGCAGCGGCTCGATGTGGTGGGGACGTGTGTTTGGTTGAATGGCTGTGTGGGGGTTGATGAGGAATGCACGTGGAGGTAAGCAGAGGAGGAGGAGTGCGAGGAGCGAAAGGAGTGAAAGGGAGACGAGGATGTGGAGGCGAGGGGCAAGGAGGCACTGCGGTAGGGTGGATAAATGCAAGGAGAGGAAGAGGAGGAGGAAAAAGAGCGAGGTGAGCGAGAGGAGGAGGAGGAGGGGGTGAGAGGCAAGCAGGCACTGCGATTAAGTGGGTAGAGGCAAGGAGAGAAGGAGGACAGAGAGGAAAAGGAGGAAGAGGAGGAGGAGAACGAGGAGGGTGGATGCACAGACGGGGAGAGTTGAGGGTGAGGCATGCGAGGGTGGTTAGTCCGCAAGGGGAGGGGTGTGGAGAGCACATGAGCCTTGCAGGCTGCTTGGCGCACCTGGTGAGCCATCAGCCGCTGCCACACCCCCTCCCCTCCCACCACCTCAACACGAGTGCCATCAACACGCGTGCCATCAACACGAGTGCCATCAACACGAGTGCCATCAACACGAGTGCCATCATCACGAGTGCCATCAACACGAGTGCCATCAACACGAGTGCCATCAACACGAGTGCCATCAACACGAGTGCCATCAACACGAGTGCCATCAACACGAGTGCCATCAACACGAGTGCCATCATCACGAGTGCCATCAACACGAGTGCCATCAACACGAGTGCCATCAACACGAGTGCCATCAACACGAGTGCCATCAACACGAGTGCCATCAACACGAGTGCCATCAACACGAGTGCCATCAACACGAGTGCCATCAACACGAGTGCCATCAACACGAGTGCCATCAACACGAGTGCCATCAACACGAGTGCCATCAACACGAGTGCCATCAACACGAGTGCCATCATCACGAGTGCCATCAACACGAGTGCCATCAACACGAGTGCCATCAACACGAGTGCCATCAACACGAGTGCCATCAACACGAGTGCCATCAACACGAGTGCCATCAACACGAGTGCCATCAACACGAGTGCCATCAACACGAGTGCCATCAACACGAGTGCCATCAACACGAGTGCCATCATCACGAGTGCCATCAACACGAGTGCCATCAACACGAGTGCCATCAACACGAGTGCCATCAACACGAGTGCCATCAACACGAGTGCCATCATCACGAGTGCCATCAACACGAGTGCCATCAACACGAGTGCCATCATCACGAGTGCCATCATCACGAGTGCCATCAACACGAGTGCCATCATCACGAGTGCCATCATCACGAGTGCCATCATCACGAGTGCCATCATCACGAGTGCCATCATCACGAGTGCCATCCTGTCGTCCCCCCTCCCCTGGTGTAGCCCCGTCCGGTGTGTCCCAGGCTACCCCTCCCCTCTCTGTAGCCCCTCAGGTGCAGCCTCCTTCCCCGCAGTCCTCCTCGCAGCCTGCTGCAGACCCTGCGGGAGCCGGTGTTCGTGGCGAGGAGCCTGTCGGTGCTAGTTCTGGGGGTGCTGGAGTTGGGGCTGAGCCTGTGGCTGTAGTAGATTCTCGTCTTCCGGGAGCTGGTGGTGGTGGTGCTGCCTCTGGGGGTGCTACGTCTGGGGGTGTGGGTGCGCCCCCTACGGGTCCTGGTGAGCTTAGCAGTGTTGCTGTTGGTGGTGCTGACTCTAGGGGTGGTGCACCGGGTGCTGCAGCGGCCCCGGACATTACTAATCCCCCCCACCCCTACCCGACCCGGCTCCAGGCTCGTGTTCGCCGTGCCCGTGAGGAGCAGCTGGAGTTGGAGCTGGAGTTGGAGAGAGAGTTGCAGCGGCTGGAGGAGCAGGAGCGGCAGCAGCAGCAGCAGGAGCAGCAGCAGCAGCCGCAGCTGGAGCCGCAGCAGCGGCAGGAGGAGCAGCAGCAGCCGCCGCCAGAGCAGCAGCAGCAGCCGCAGCAGCAGCGGCAGCAGCAGCAGCCGCCTCCTCCTCCTGTCTCGGGTCTTCGGACTCTAGGTCTCCCCTCTCGCTCTCCTTCCTCCTCCCCCTCTCCTCCCGTCTCTGGTCCTCCGCTTCCTCCTCCTGACCCCTCTCCGGCTAAATGTTTTCCCTCGTTCTCAGTCTTCGTTGTCCCCTCCTCCTTCTCAGACTTGGGCCTCTCGTCGCTCCCCTCGTGCTCGTCCCTCGTCCCCTGTTCCTTTCACTGACCTTCGTACTGCCTTACTTCGTTCTAGTCCACCTCGTCCGTCTCCGTCTGTGCTTCCGTCTCCTTCTGAGTCGGCTCTCACTGCTTCCCTCTCTACTCCTGTCACTGACTACTACCACACGTACCGTCCTGTTCTCTCTCGTGTTCTCGCCTCTCTTGTTACCCACCCTCGTGCCTCTCTGTCCTCTGTCTCCGCTCTTACTGCCGCAGTCACTAAGTTTGCCTCTACTCGCCGCCTTGACTATGCCACCAGTCTTGTGGCTGCTCCTCCTACCAGTCCTCTGGCCGTCGGGGGTGTGTCTGCCCTTGGCTGTGACGCCCTAGAGGACAGGCAGTTTGAGCTAGAGTTCCTGGCAGCCGCTTCCCCTCATCTCTGTGCCATGCTGCTCGCCCCTGAGGGAGACCCCGACGCCCTTGACATACCGACTCCTCGCACTTACGCTGAGGCAGTGTCAGGGCCTTGGGCCTCTCAGTGGAGAGCTGCCATGGACGCAAAGATGGCCTCCTACAGATCCACAGGCACCTACGTCGACGAGGTTCCCCCCCTTGGGGCAAACGTAGTCGATGGCATGTGGATCTACAAGGTGAAGCGGCCACCGGGATCTCCTCCGGTCTTCAAGGCGCGCTACGTGGCTAGAGGTTTCAGTCAGCGCGAGGGATTTAACTTTTTTCAGACCTTCGCGCCCATCCCGAAGATGACCACTCTTCGGGTGTTACTACACGTAGTAGCACAGAGAGACTACGAGTTACACTCTCTCGACTTCTCCACTGCTTTTCTTCAGGGCAGCCTACACGAGGAGGTCTGGCTGCGTCGTCCCTCTGCCTTCACTGGCACTTTCCCTCCTGAGACCCAGTGGAGGCTGAGGCGACCAGTCTACGGTCTCCGTCAGGCTCCTTGTGAGTGGCACGACACCCTTCGTTCTACTCTCGCTGACCTTGGTTTTCAGCCGTCGTCTGTCGATCCGTCGTTGTTCGTTCGTCGTGGCTCCACACCGTTCTTTGTTCTGGTATACGTCGACGACCTGGTTTTTTGCCACTCCTGACAAGGTTGCCTTGGCAGACGTGAAGTCCGAACTGCAGAAGAGACACACGTGCACTGACCTTGGTGAGTTGCGCCACTACCTTGGTCTGCAGATCACCAGGGACAGAGCTGCTCGCACCATTACACTTTCACAGTCACACATGGTGCAGCAGGTCCTTCAGCGGTTCGGGCTTCAGCACTCCACAGTACAGCGCACACCTCTTGCTGTTGACCACAGACTCACTGGACCCTTTCCTGACGAGCCGTTTGAGCCTAGTGGTCCCTACGCAGAGCTTGTGGGTTGCCTCATGTACCTGATGACTTATACTCGCCCGGACCTAACCTTCCCTCTCAGTGTCCTGGCGCGCTTTGTTGCGCCAGGGAGACACCGCCCTGTTCACTGGACAGCAGCTGTGAGGGTGGCGAAGTACCTAGCGACGACATCAGGCGTGGGGCTAGTTCTTGGAGGACAGCAGTCTGTCGTACTTACTGGTCACTGTGACTCTTCTTACGCTGACGACACTGAGACTCACAGGTCTACTCAGGGGTACTGTTTCAGCCTGGGTTCTGGAGCTGTTTCCTGGCGGTCCACGCGCTCCTCTTCGGTCTCGACCTCTACAGCTGAGGCTGAGATCTACGCTGGTGCCATGGCGGCACAGGAGCTACGTTGGTTGACCTTCTTGCTCGCCGACCTTGGTGAGCGGCCGAGCTCTGCACCAACCTTGTTCACTGACAACAAGGCGTCGATTCTCCTCTGTCGTGAGCCGCGACTGGAGAGCAGAGTGAAGCACATTAACGTCAGGTACTTTCTTCTGCGAGAGTTGCAGAGACGTGGACAGGCTCGCTTCGAGTTTGTGGAGTCCGAGGCCAACACTGCAGACATCTTCACCAAGGCGCTTCCGCCTTGTGACCACCAGAGGTGTTGTGTGCAGTTAGGCCTTGTTGACACAGGTTCTAGTTGTGTATAGGCTTGAGTTTACTGTTTGCTTTGCTTGTACTCTTGCTATACACACTTGTGAACTCTTGGACTGGCCTTGTGGCCACTGTTGCTTGTGCTCAGAGTGTGTGGTGACGTTGTGATCCACCCTGAGCTTTGTTTCTTTGTGACTGGTCTTGTGACCGTACACTTTTGGTTTTGCTAGACACCCCTCACTTAGGCTATGGGGGTGTGTCAAATGTTGTAGCCTGTTGTGAAGTTTGTCTTAGGGGGTACAGTTGCTAGGGTTTGCTATATGTACCCCAACCCACATCAATCAAACGCAACTTCCATTCTTGACAGCGGTCCTATCCATGATTAAAAAAAAATGCTGAAGCACCCACAACAACTAAGCAATCAAATACTATTTCAAAAAATATGTCCATATGATTAAACCCGGGTACTATACATTTCTAAGCCTTTGACAAGACCCCCCTCTTTTTTCTCTGATTTTTTCATAAGACCCTAGGGTCTTATATCCGGGAGAATACTGTAGTTGAATGGCAGCAAAGGCCGACACTCTGAAGACATTATGTTGAAATGTTTTCTTGTATTTGCATTTCCAGCCTTGGCTTGAACCTGTATGTAGCTTATGACGCCATCTTGGATCAGGGCCCAAAATATCAGGGTAAAACGCCCTGATTACCCTGGGGGTCGGCCGTTTTTTCAGGATTACCCTGCCAAAATCAGGAATGCGAGATAGTTACCCTTCTCTTAAAAGAGCATGTTTTATTTCACCCTGATTGGTTTTTAGGCTAGCCTGACGGAATCAGGGTATGGTGTACACTACCCTTTTACCGAAACTTTCCTAACGTGAATCAGACCACAATTCGTGTGGTGTCAAAATTTACCACACCCCCACAAAAACCGCACTGCGGGGGCGCACACGGGGTGAGAGGAGAGGAGAAGATAGCGTGAGAGATGGCCCTACGGAGTATGCTGACGGAACAAGAAACCAGACACTTTTTATGCATCGCTGCCACTTGATTGAGACCTCAAGCACTGCGGGACGAGGACGGAACCAATGGTAACGGGGAAGTAGTTACAGTGCGAGTTAGCGAAAAACAAATTGAAGCACTCCCACCTCTTTGACACACGATTTCCACAAAGAGCATGCTTTTCGACACGCAATTCCCGACATGAATTCATTTAACGTCCCCCCCTACAGGAGTCTCCCGTAGCGCGCCGCGCTGCTTCCCATTGCACCGCGCGTCGTGGCCCGCGACGCGTACCGTATTCCTTTTCCGTCTGGAACGCGATAGTGAAGTCGCCACAAAATTTACCGCGATAGTGAAGTCGCCGGTAATCAAAACAGGCTTAGCCTAAAACTACCCTGCTCAAATCAGTCTAGTGGTTGATTTACCTGTCAAACTATATGTGCTGCATATTGTCTAGGCTGTAGTGGGGTAGCCCATATGGGGTACAACCTAGTTAGGGTTTACTACTTGTACTCCTGCATCCTGTTAGTTCATCCATTCCTGCTGCTAGATTCTAACATGGTATCAGAGCACTAAGGTCCGTAGGACCGTTTTTTTTTCGGGCCCACCTACCGCTGCGGTTACCGCGCTACCCCACGTAGCCTTGCCTTGCCTTGTATGCCTTGCCTTGCCTTGCCTTGCCTGCGCGCTTCCCCTAGAGGCCCGTAAGGCCCGCGCGCCGCCTCTACACGCCTGTCGGGCCCGCACACACGCTGCTACCGCGCGCTGCCCGCACCGAGATCGCGCAGCCCGCCCCGAGTCGCGCGCAGCCCGCTGCAGCCACGCGCAGCCCGCACCGAGCCGCGCGCAGCCCGCTGCAGCCGCGCGCAGCCTGCACCGAGCCGCGCACAGCCCGCTGCAACCGCGCGCAGCCCGCACCGAGCCGCGCGCAGCTCGCAGCTGCCGCGCGCAGCCCGCGCCGAGCCCGCGCAGCCCGCGTCGAGCCGCGCGCGGCCTGCTACGGCCTCGCGCAGCCCGCGCGCGGCCCGCAGCAGCTCGTGCCGAGCCGCGCGAGGCCTGCTCCTGCCTCGCACGGCCCGCGCGCGGCCCGCAACAGCCCGCGCCGAGCCGCGCGCGGCCCGCTACTCCCTAGCGCGGCCGCGCGCGGCCCTTTGCCTCGGCCCCGACCTGCCGCTGATGCGGCCCCGCCCAGCAGCTGCCATGGCCCCGACCTGCCGC